CCATGTTACTACAGACTTAAGTCGACCACCAACCATGACCATGGTCAACTACATGTAGTTCCATTGGAATACTGATGATTTTGTTGATCCCTAGACCATATCTACAATTTTTTTGGTGGACCACAATCAGTCAGCCCAGTATTTTGGGACCAAGGCCATTATGGAAATCTATGTCGTACCTACAGAAGTAGATACGGCCACCAGCACTACCATGGCCAACTAAATGTAGGTCCATTGAGATTGGGATACATACATACGGATGGTTTTGTTAGTCATCCTGTCATCCAGTTACCCAGGCCCTGTCTGCAGCATCCATGGCGGGACCATTTTGAACCGGTACTTGGGACCCAAAAGAATTATGGAAATCCATGTTTCACCTACAGAAATAAATACGACCACCAACCAACCATGACCATGGCCAACTAGATGTATATAATAGGACCATTGAAATATTGATGATTTTGTTCATCCCTAGGCCACATCTGCAAGTCGTTTTGGTGGATCATAATCCCCCACTACAAGTAGGCCCATTGAAATACATATGGATAATTTTGTTATTCATCCAGTTACCTAGGCCCTGTCTGCAGCATCCATGGCGGGACCATTTTCAACCCAGTACTTCAGTACTTGGGAACCAAAAGAATTATGGAAATCCATGTGGGTATGATATGTAGCAAATATGAGGATGACTTTGATGATTTTGGCAATCATTCAATTACCCAGGCATACCCAGGCTATATCTGCAGTATCGATTTGGGGGACCGTGATCGACCCAGTACTTGGGGCCCAAAAGAATTATGGAAATACATGTAGCTAGCAACTATAACCACCAACTATGACCATGGCCACTAGATGTACATAGGTCCATGGAAATTTTGCTGATTTTAGTGCTCATTCAGTTAGTAACTAATCCCCCTATAAGTTGCACACGCAGATTTGCCCATCATTGCTGTTTACCCTTGCAAGGCTACATATCCGGGGTGACCATGTGCCCATGCACACAGCCTCAGGAGCTCAGACAACGCCGGACCGATTTGCAGCTGGATGCCACTCACACTGCGCTCTTCATATGCGACGATGCAGATCAGCACCGAAATCCAACATACAAAACACTACGTGATTTGTGGTGCCAAGAAAACAATGCGGTGATCTTGGGAAGTGTGAAAGGAGATGCTGATCTCCCTGATGTGCCAGGTGGGGGGGATGGTCGAAGGGGAAAACATGAAACTTGCATCCTAACCACCGGAAACATAATCCATGCACACATGCACATACATTCAACATTCATAGTGACTTGCATGCAGAGGTGCTTATATACATAGGGCACAATACAAAACAAGCACCTATAGATGGAAATCCATAGAATTATGGAAGTGTTTTTTTTAATAGTTTGTAACCCAGAAAAAGCTGCTTTTGTGACATATTGAAATGTTAAAATTGTACATATTTGCCGAATAATTTAATACTTAAAACATATTTCTAGCAATGCCACGTGCATAGGGCACAATACTTCGACCCCGCAATGCCAAAAGTTTTTTAATGCACCCTGCAATACCCTGCAGGTGGCTTAGGAAGCTGTGCAGCCCCCAACGACGGGGGGGTGCATCAGAACTTTCACTTCTTGAGACAAGGCTACCAGCGCATTGCGCTAGGCTGGAACAGAAACGCCCTGCATGCAAAGAGCAAGGAAGACTATGAAATCAACAACAGTGGAGATGTCAAGTTTCATCTCGCCCTTCCTGTTTCCCTTGAGAGCGATGCATTTGCATTGCAGGCCATTCGAGAGTACGAAAGAGGCAAGTTGATTCTATGGGCATGGAGCAGCAGGGGGTACAGCACTGTGAATGAGATCGCCGAGTGGCTTTTCAACGGGAACATCAAAGAAGCATCTGAGCTTCTATCCCCAATGCCACCAGGAAGTCTCACCAAGTACATCCAAGGGAAAGAACTACCAGCTTTGCACATTCTTGGGGAGGACAAGAAAATTCAGATTCCAGATGGCCAGTTCCTGTCAGGGGAAAGGGTCCATCTCTGGTTCGTGGACACCGGAAAAGATGGCATGATTGCATTGCCCCACTGGTTCTCAATGCCAATTGAATGTTGCATTGCTCTTTGGCGAACGGAGCAGCAGAACTGGGAGGAGAAGAAAATGGCTCGCCACCCTAAGCCATTGACTCCGAGCCAGCAGAAACTGTATGATGCTTGGGTGGACAACTCTACTCGACGATTGGTTCTGGACCAAGCACAAAGATGTCAGATCACCCATCCTTCTTCGGTCAGCAGGGGATATCTTGTGAAACATGGTATCTTGCTGGAAGCTGGTCCAAGTATGGAGCAACACTTCCTTTTTTTGCGGGAAACCAGTTAATTTTTCCTAGGTCCCCGAAAGCTCAAACAGAAACATTTTTCAATTTTGATTTGGATGTGATTTCCATAATTTTGTTTTCCCTACGAGGGCATGGAAAGCAAGGAGATCGCAATGACTATCCAGGAGGATGAGCTGCAGCTGCGGGTCGGGGACGGTGATTGGCGGCCACTCCGCGTCAGGCAGTTTGACATTGCAGAGACGATGCCAGGCGAAGAAGTTCCTTCGTGGATGCGCATTTCCGAGAAGAAGGACTTTGATCAAAAGATCTTGGCAGCTGATGGGGCGGATCAAGAAGAAAACGGTGAGGAAGAGCACCCAAATGAGGAAGTGGACGGTATGTACGCGGAGGGTGGCAAGCATGCATATGCTGGTGAACAGCCCGGCGAGGAGGAAGACGATGGAGAGAATCCAGAAGATGTGGCTCTGGATGAAGACTCCATGCCAGACTGGATTGCTAGCCTGAAAGGGGTCCACTTCTTCACTCTTACGCAAGCTTTGGTTTCCCCATCAGCAATGCATCTTCGCAACTTGAATGCAGTCTATGGCACTCAAGGGGTTAGGGGCGCAAGGGGGAAGATGTTAACTATGGCATGAAAAAGTCCAACATGTATGCAAAATAGGTACAAAAAGGTAGATAAAAAGGTAGATGTTAACTATGGCATGAAAACTCTTACATGCGTATGGTCATGCATAGGTAGAAAAACTCCAACATGTATGGTTCCAAAAGAATTATGGAAATGCACATATAAACTAGGTATGTACTACATATATACACATACAGTCTTATCCGCTCTTTATAGGTAGAAAGATTCCTGCAACCCATACTGGCGCATACAAATTTATATATACACATATACAGAATGTGTGGTCCCAAAAGAATTATGGAAATGCACGTATAAACTATATAGGTATGTACTACATATATACGCATACAGTCTTATCCGCCCTTTATAGGTAGAAAGATTCCTGCAACCCAAACTGGCGCATATATATTTATATATTATATATGTATGTATATATATATATACATATATATATATATGTATATATATATATGGAATGTGTGATTCCAAAAGAATTATGGAAATTGACACATATATCAAGCATGTACTACATACACAGACCATGTTATCCGCTCTTCCTGCCAGCGCAGGCGTGAGTGGCGATGATGTGACCACCTATCTCCAGGGGGTTGTCTTTGATGCAAAGAAATCAGGCGGCGAAAAGAGTTGGACCCGAGTCAATTTCTCCCACTCGGACTATGGCAGCTTGCTTCCCCCCAGGAAAGGTTGCCGGATGCAGCGGTGGTGGCCAGCGGGCAGCGCTCCGCGCTACCAAGTTTGGTACCCCAAATCGGCAGGAGATGTTCATGGTTCCCATACTTTCCATGGCAAACAAGGCTTTGAGGAGGCCAAGACATGGGCCTGGACCCGCCACAACAAGTGGTTGCTCCTGAATTCAAAGGCAGAGGAGTGATCTGACAACATATAATAGTATAAACATGTGATTTCATCTATTTCCATAATTTTGTTTTCATCACGTATGGCCTTCGAAGAAAAAAACCTCTGCAGACAATGTCCATCAAATCCAATTGCATTGTGTATTGCCGATGATGGCCTTTGAGGTAGCGAAGAGTCTTTCCATGGACAGCATGCTCTTCCTCCGTAGGCACCTTTTCGTAGGCTTACATACATATATAATTCGGAATTGTGATTTGGGGCAGCTCCTTGGCTGGAGATATGTGTAAATTTATCCATAATATATAAATATATATATATAATATGTGTGTGTATTTCAATACAGGTATCCAATGATCATCAACCTTGTCTTGCCTATCGGCACCTACTTTCAGCCACCCCAGGTCTTACTCTCAAGGGGAAAATTATAGAAACCATGTTGTCATGTTGGGCTGCCCCATGGGTGCATGGTCATCGCTGCCATTTGTGCAGACTTTCAGAAACTTACGTCCTGCGGGATTATGGGGAGAAAATTCTTGCGGCAGTCGCCCATCCCCTGTGAGAAGTCAGGGTTTTCAGTGCTCAGGGTTGGGCCTACAAGGCAACAAACTGAGGAAAGTGTTAAGGGGTACATGTGAAATTATTCCTCCACATGTCTATTTTGATCTCCCACTGATGCTACTGTAGCCATAATCATGCACTGTAGCCATGGCCAAAAGAATTATGGAAACATGTCAATAGAAAAGTTGTCACCCCTTTCAGGAAACAAATAATTATGGAAATGGTCATATGCCAAGAAACACCCTCACATGGAAAAAAAATATATGGAAATTTAACTGCGGCACGTCACGCCCCTTCCAAAAAGGTTCAGATTACCAAATATTACGTAATCTTGATGTGTGCATTTTTATCAGTAAAAAAGAATTATGGAAAAATACGGCCCCGGCGCGCCGCAGTTGTTTGCTGGCCCATGCCGAACCTTTTTTCCATTTCCATAATTCTGTCGGTGACCATACTGTAACTGTTGGGTGTATGGTAGATATGGGAGGTAGAACCCACTCGCAATTGGAAATTATTGGATTTAATTTGGGTTAAATCTCAAAAATTGCTGTTGCTTAAACCCATCATATGTTTCACGATGTTTCCTGCTTAAACGATTGGGCACTCGAAGCCAGGAACCAGTGAGCGCCAAGAAAGTCCTACATGAAGCGATTGGCCGGGAGCTGAGTTGAACAAATGTTGGAGGATCATTAAAAACGGTCCACGGTCCTCGGGTTCAGTGGGGAAGAAACCTACAGTTACGGTCCGCAAAACCTGTTTTAAGTCAGTGAAATAACCCCAGAAAAATGGAATGATAACCCCATTTGTAACCACAAAAAAACCTTAAAAACAGTTTTCAAGTACCTGTTTATGGACCAGAAAATTCATGAATTTGACGTTCCCTATTTCCCTATTTACAACTAGCTGAGACATTGGTCCAATTTGTGGACTAAAACTTCTCGAACAGCTGGTAGTTGTGAATTGGACTTTTTGATCATTAAATGGTTAGTTGTAACATGTTGTAACCCATTCTTGGTCCCAAGTCCAGTTGGTAAGTCCCCGGCTATGAATGGATTATAAACCATTTACAGTACCAACCATACATTAGTTATCCTTGGCGGTGCATCCCACTTCGTAAATGTGTTATACCCCCAGTTCCATTAATGCCTATCCCCTACTATATATATAATTATTCATATATATATATATGTATATATATGTATATATTATACACACATATAAATAGTTATATAAATATATACAATATATATATATATACACATTTAAATAGTAGGATATATATATATATAGATCTATTTATCTATTTATGTATGGATTATAAATTATAAACCACTTACTGTTCGTGGTATTCACATCCAAGTATCCCAACGTGGTCTCGGTGACACAACTGGGGCACCACCTTCGCCGTGAGGCGATCTCATCGAGCGCTCGGGGGGCCCGGGATCGCTCAGTTGTGCCATCGTCTTGGGCGGTACCTGCGGCTGGGCAGACGTCAGCAGGGAATTTCAGGATCCTGAAATGGAGCTACTGTAATTACCGTAAGACCATAGTTTGTAGGGATATTGCCTTACATAGGCCTTATATAGGCCTTATTATATATATATGTGGTAGGTACCTCCAATTTAGGTTCCTGAAATGGCCATTGAAGAACTGGTTGCGCAGGTCTGGTGTCCTCGAATATGGCAAGCTGGAAATCCCCAATCAACATAGATGGGATTTTAGTGGGAAACTCATGGAACTTGAGGGAGTTTTACAGCAAACCATGTTTGATCAAAGAGGAGCTGCTTGGTGGTCAACGGTTTTTGGGCGTGAAGTTATCCACAAATAGGGCGGATGGAGGGGGTCCTTGACAGTCGCAGCTTGTGAGTATGTTCCCGAAAGAGCGAGAGAGAAAGCGGGAATATGCCATTTTTGAGTTTGTTCACTTGAGGGTGAAAGAAAGCAGTGGCAGGGCCAATTGGCTGGTCACCTTCAAGCTTTGGAACCAAAGCGGTAGATTGCCGCCATCCCAATTCTTGCTTGATTCATAGAAGGGGGCAACCTTTCATGTTCCACATGCGGCAAATGCACCTGCACTGTGCGTGGGCCATCGTCGGCCAGTTATGAGTTGATTTATAACCCCATGAATCTACAAAAAAAAACTGTCACAAACCACTTTTATGCTTGCTGTAAACCACCCATCTAGGGAGCCCACCTTGTGCAGGTGCCAAGCCCCAGAAAAAAGTAATTAGTAGCCGGATGTGATGGGGCTACGTTTCGCATGGCATTTGGGCTACAAGGGGAACAAAAAGCCAGTTGCTACTAGGCCGTAGCCGAGTAAATCTAAGTGGAGGTATATATCCGGTGGTAATTCAAGATTGCTACAGAAAATGGCCCATTTGTAGATCATTTGCCTAGCATTTTCATGGTGGTTTTCCAATGTTTTCCATAGCGCTGTCACCAGAGGGCATTTAAGGCATTGGATGACGAAGTGGGGCCCACCTGGTACCAACCCCAGCACCCAAGGTGGAAGCCTGCTATGGATTCCAGGGGCTCCACGGATTGAGGTTCCTGCGGAGAAATTTGCTGAGTTTCTCTATAGATTCTGGGGGATCGAAAGAAACGAAATGTAAAATGGATGGGCATTGACCATCCTTAGACTTATCCACCCAGTCTGTGTGATCTTGTAAGGGATGAGAGCCAATTCTTGGCCAAGATCAACTTTCTTGCGTACCAGCCTGGTACTTCGCTGGTTCATGTTTTCTTGGTGTCGGTGTGGCCCAAAAATGGGGCACTAGCGGGCCCACAAGACAGCTGTTTTGGCCCCCTCCGGCTATAAAACACTGCAAGAAACCCAACAGGTTCGTGGTAAAATCATTCGAGTCAGTAGATTGCCAGAAGAGGCGGATGTGGATCATTTTTTCCAAAAAGTGGCACACTAAAGCAGCCCAAGATTTTTGTAAACCAAGCATGTCGCAAGATTTCCTCCAAACAAATCCCACAAAGACCTGAGTTTGAGATGTGTTTTTTTCCTTGAACCGCCGCATGCACAGGCATTTACATGTGCTACGTATTGTAACGTGTTGTTTTCCCAAAAGAGAAGGTGGTTATGAATCCAACCAATAGGGGGTTATAATGGTTTAGATACCCATTGTATTTCCAACATGAGATGGATGACCATAAGCCATGTACCATGTAGCTTGACCATGGCACACATGATCTTACAATCTTTTAATCTCATCCAATATGTGAAACACTCCTCAGAAACCATGGATTGGTCGCGGATTTACACGTGTATTTGGGACCATTGAAGGGAGCTGTGTATCATGGGGGATGGGATTGTAATTCTTATCTTCTTGTCAACTAGCGGCGATAGGATTTGGAATGATTTGTGTTTGAAAATAGACAACACCATCTATCCATTGGTTAACTGTTCCCATTGGACAGGCTCCCCCAGTAGCCAGGTCTCAGGGATCGAGTTGAAAGGCTGGAAAGCGCCCTTGGCTGGCGCTGCATTTGGCTTGTACAGCGTGCAACTACCAGAAGGATCGTGGGCGCCGGGTTGGAGGGTTGGAGGGTTGGAGGATTCAGAAAGTGGTGGCCCATGGTGGCCCCAAACCTGAGGTGGGTTGATAAATGTTGACAACCCCCAACTAGTTTGGATATGTATCTACAATAAGTTTGCGAAGTTGCCAAGGGACCCATAATTAGCTAAGTTGGTTTTTGAACTACTAGTACTAGGGTTTATGGCTCTATATATATATATAATATGCATGTATATATATATATATGTGTGTGTGATATGTATGTGCGTGTAATTCTATATTACTACACTATAGTTAATGGTGGTCATAAACCAACATCAACCAACTTATAACTGGGGGGCCACATTGTACTCATTCGTAGCCGGGTAGCCCTGCCCCAGGCGATGCACTGAGCGGCCGCTATCGACAACTCTGCATCTGGAGCGCCCGGCAATGCCATCGACTCTGGGACCGCGCGTGAAGAAAAGCCGCGTGCAGACTCCGTTTAGAGACTAACATCTATCGAAGTTTTGGAGGTGTGTGCACTTATTCAATGTGAATTTGAAGACCCTAAAAAATTGAGGTAATTGCACTCAAACCATATAAAGCCATAGAAAGTGAAGGCAAATCCCTTGAATTTTGACTCTGACATAGGCCTTATAAAGGATAAAGGGTACCATAAATCGGTACCTGAAATGGCCATTGATTGACACAATGTCTTGGCATCCCTGCAGGCATCTACAGTAATCAGCATTTTTGGGACTGGCCACTAAAAACCATGGAAGACTGAGCCTCAAAACTTGACATCGGAAACAGCACGGGAGAACTTCTGAGAACTTTATAGAACTGCTGTCCCTCTGATGCGCTTGATGTTGGATGCAGCGAATTTCCAAGCACCTAAGCCTGGCTTGTGAGGGCGGTGCTGTCTATCGCCTGCTGTTGCAAGGCGTGTCACAGCAGGAGTTAGGGATTCAACAGGATCTGTTGACAGCAGCCTATGGTGCTGAAGTTCGACTCTCTCGATTCCACCCATCTGCCTCATCTCGGATCCTGCAAACTGTGCAGCGTCACCAAGCACAGCTGGGAGCGGTGAATGCATCTACCGCACTGCATTTGTGGCTGGAAGCGGTTGTTTTTTTACTTACCCTTTTGTAATTCGACGTAGCGTTTTGGAACATGATAAAATGATCACATATGACCACTAAGTAAATAATCTATAATCTATAAATGAGCCATGGTTTCCAAAGCTATGTTGCATTACTAGAGGGTATACTACCAATAAACTAACATGGGTGTGGAAAACCTACCATTTGTAGATCAGTTTCCATTGGGTTTCCCCATACCCTAGGCTAACTCGCATAGAATCCCTTCAAATTCCCAAAGATCACATTAAACCCAACAAAAATCCCATGAATCCCATGGAAATTGCTGCTTTCCCCAGGGTTAACCTGCCACCTTTGTGCCCAGGTTAGCCCAAGCCGTTCCCAGCGCATCCCCGGCATCCCCCGTGTCCGCCAGCGTTGCTGGGGCGCTGCTGTCTGCAGCGTCACAACCTACGGCTGAGCCCAGGGACCTCGCAGTGGCCAGTTGGGCATCTGCCAAGCTGCAGCTGATGCTGGGCTGAAGAAAATCAGCTCATTTTTTCATAGGTAGATCTAGGGAAATCATAATGAATCAATGGTAAATCATAGGCAAAATCATATGGTAAATCATCATTTTTGATCGTAGGAGCTACCCTCTGGTAAACGTTTACAGTTTGCGAACTGGAAAATCACAATGTCTATATAATAGGTAAATCAACGATCGAAATGGTCATTTGCAATAGTTATGTTAAATTACCAAAGGGTAGATCTATAGGTAAATCACCAGTTTTTATCATCATTTTTTCATCACCCATAAATGGGTGGTAATTTGTACCATATGGGAAAATTCCCATTGTTTGGCCTATCGGACAACCGGTGGCTCATCTACCTAGTTGGATCTACTAGGTGAATCATCATTTTTGTCATCGAACTAAATGGCTCATGGCTTCCATAGCTATTATAATTTAGCACAGGCTACCATCAAAAGTGTGGAAACATGCAGAAAATTATCGATTTCCTGGTGATTCCTTGGTAATTTTGAAGATGTTGTTGAGCCAAGTGTTTGGATGATTTGCTGGAAATCTGGAGCAATTGACCTATATAGTAGAAAGCATTTTTGGTTGGCTGAGTACGGTGAAATTTCGCAACTTAAAACATCGCTACTATGACTTGTGAGAAATGAGTGGGAAACTGTCCCTTAAATTGCTGGTTCGTGGTGTTGTGTTGGTCACATGGGGTCGATCAGGGACATATGGAGATGATTGGATGATCAAATTACGTTGGATCCTGCGGCAGTTGTTGAATGAACCGGTGATGCACTCCCGGATTTGACCCTCCAACAATGTGGGGATTTAATTCTGGTTGGTGGTTTGGAACATTTTTTCCATATATTGGGAATAATACTCCCAACTGACTATATGATATTTTTCAGACGGGTTGAAGACACCAACCAAAATTGGTTTTATAATTTTTTATCACTTAAAGTTCCGGTGATTTTTCGGAACCGTTGGGGCTTTGACATCCCTTGAGCAACTCAAATTTGGCGGCTGAAAGTCACATGATTTCAGCCCAAAGGGATTTAAGCATCAAAGAGTGGGGATTGACCAGCATACCCTCTGGTAAACTAACAGTTTGCTATTGAAAATGGCCATTTATAATGGATTTACCCATTAAAAATGGTGATTTTCCATAGCAAACTGTTAGTTTACCAGAGGGTAGTTGAGAAGGTAAGGTGCCGTGTGATGGCAAGGTTCACGGCCCCATTCTTGCTGCTTATACAGTTTGAATGAAAGAATAGGTGTATGCCCGGCTGCCCGGGATGTCGTGACGCTACGATTGGCCGAGCTGGAGAAACTCTCGGCCAAACCTTTGGTCCCTTTGAAACCAACCAGTTCAAAGCGGTTTTCGTGGGACAATTGCCACGGGAATGATAGGCAAATCATCTACAAATAAATGGGTGATGATCCATGGCCACGTTGAATTACCAGAGAGTTCATATTTCAATCTCATTTTTAGATGCTCCCTTGACCCAGATTTGGATCACTGTTTCTACTCATCCCAAATGATCCGTTGTTTTGACCCCCGCCATGTCCCCTGTCCTGGGCGAGGAGCAACTGCGATGCGCTACAAGCACTACAAGATGCCATCCAAGCTTCAGCTGAACGTCTGGATGGTCAGGACGTGGCCAATGTACCGCTGGTGTGAAATTCAGCATTCTTTGGGATGCCTTTTTGGTAACGATTCGGGGACGATTTTTGAATAGGTAAATGATCTACAAATGGGGCTTGGTTTCTCAGGATCTGTGAAGATCAACTGGGCGGTAGACCATTAACTACCAAGCCGCTAGGCGAAACATAAAGAGGTGTCCATGAAAAAGGGACCCCCAAATCATCCAATTTTCATAGGATTTTCCATTACAGAGATTTATAAACCAGCCAGCTATTGGGGTACCCCCATGGAAAGCTCACATGGTCCAGAGGTTTCAAGCCAAGCCCACAGCAGTTCACACCATTCTGGATATTTCGCCATGATCTGTGTCCACCCCAATTCCAATGGTTCACACAATGTTTCAGGGCTGCTCCAACCTCGTATATAGGTGATAGCCACAATCCCAATTGGTGAGTTTACCTCTTTTTTTTTACCAAATTTCTTACTCAAAACACAATTTTTGCTAGGTCAATCTTACATGGATACTTTAATCCTTTAGTCTTTTGGTATTAATGGGAATATCTACTAACCAGCAAAGAATTTATTTTTTTGCAGGGTATCTAAGATTGGCAATGTTTGGACACAAAAAATCTCGGAGACCTTGAGGTGTGCTGGGCCTTTGCCAGCATGGATTCCTCAGTCGCCTCCCAACCCCATTTTTTTGCGACACTGGCAGATGCCGCGGTGCCCAAAATTCGTGACCACTTTAGCGCTAGACATGTGGCGATCACGTGCTGGGCACTGGCCAAGGTGGGAAAATCATGGTTTATGTCAACCCAGATTAGTCAATATGCCACGTAAATAATAATACATGCGTAGATATATCTATAGTATATATTATATATTATATTATTATAAAATTATATTTATACGTGTGTATATCTGTACATATATAATATATATATACATACACACCACATCATGATGTCCCGGTTTATTAAGAGAAGGGGTTACGAATTTTAGTAGGCCCCCCGAAATCCCCCGAATACATCAGGGCCCATCAGGGTTGACATTTCAAGGTTTAACCATCCAAGTTGAGTTGATTTCAAACGGATGATCTGGGAATCTAGGCAATGGCGTGCAACGGGCCGGGGGCAGTGGGTGGAAACCAGCAAAACGAGTGTTGAGCAGGCGTAGCCTAGGGTAAGCATGGGTAAACCAAGATAGCTAAGATAGCTATATATATATATATATATATGGCATCACATGTTTTTTGGGAGTAAATCAACGAACTAAGTGATCATCATAGCATATGGTTAAATTAGCAGAAATTAAATCCCAAACACCAACAGTTTCGAGATTGTGTCGGGAGCACGTTTGCTTGGCAGCCGTTCGCTGCAGGTTTCAGTCATGTGCTCCAGCGGTATGTTCTGGTGGAACTTGGTATCCCCAGAAAAATCGGTGAAATGAGCCACAGATGGACATCTGGAAAACTGGAAGATCATCCCAATGGCCAGCCTTGCGGCTGCCACCAGGGAGAAAAAATTCGATGTTTACCTCTTTAGCCAAGGAAAAAACCCTTGTCTTTGGATGTACTGTACCCTCCGGTAATCAAACGTGGCAATGGAAAATCTAAATTTTACAAATGATTCTCCCGTTCAATTCTACATAAAAAGGGTTTTACAGCCAGCACGTTTGCCCCGAAGACCTCGGGGGTGGGAGCGACCCTGGCAGGTCAGGCTGCCGCACGATGACTTCATCTTAGCGGCAGCAGGGGCGATGCAAGGGTCCAAGGTGGCGGTGATAAGGAAAAACCATGACACCATTGTAGATTTATGTTGATTTATCATGATTCTCCGTCTTAAGAGGCAAGATTCCCACAACTGAGGGTATAAGTTAGCATGTTTTTGGATGGAGGACGGCGAAGGTTGGGCAAAGATGTGGTCTGAAAATGGTCGCAAATTATGTGCTCGCCGCATTCTTTGCGGAAAAAGGTAAGGAAAGAACCAAACAAACGCTTCTTCCGCTAGCGAATATGTACAGGAAGCCACGACTGTTTATCATCAAATTAGGATCTTCCCACAACAAGAACTCCCTCAAATATCTTAAATCCAACACTAGATAGAACTGCTCGTAGCGCCTTATTCAACGCTATAAATCACAATTAAATACAACCAATTAATATATATTTATATATTACCCAGCAAGTCTAAGGGACAACTTTTTGAGGTCCTATGAGATCTCGTGGAAAGTGGTCCCAAAAAGAACATGTTCAGCATAGTTGGGACTATGTACTTTTTGGGTCCTTTGGGCCTAAAAGGAACGTTGCACAATACCATCTATAGATGTACTTTTTGGACCCTTTGGGCTACAAAGGAACATGTCATAATACCATAATATAGGATGTACTTTCTGAGTCCTTTGGGCTCAAAAGGAACGTTACATACATATCTCAGGCTGAGGCAGGGGTGTGGCAACCCCGCTTCAGCGAAGGGTTGTGAGTGGCATGTGGGTGTTTTTTTTCAGATTTGAAAATCAGCCTCAAGCAGTCTGCAGCCTGAAAGCTGTGTGCCTTAGGTACACATGGCTCGGAACAACAAAAAAGTGGCATGGTTTGCTTATGGGTTTCTTCATCAAGATAGACACATCATCCCCCAAAGCGTGAGCAAAGCATGAGCAAAGCGTGAGCAGCGCGAGCAAACCGTGAGCAAACCGTGAGCAAACCGTGAACAAACCGTGAGCAGATCCTCGTAAGGACCCAAAAGGAACCTGGTAAGGACTCAAAAGGAACCTAAAGGACTCAAAAGGAACCTCGGCGAGCGTGAGCAAAGCGTGAGCAAAGCGTGAGCAAAGCGTGAGCAAAGCGTGAGCAAGCGTGAGCAGCCCATTCTTGATGACAACATTTCGCAATAAAAAGTCGTTCACTTGTAATTTTCCCGCTGGTTCACCACCTCAAAACAAAGCAAAAACATCCAAAAACAGGCTTGACATTTTGTGGTTGAATGTCCAGGCCAGAAAATGAAAACAGTAAATCAGCACGGCACAAGCATTGAACTTGGAAAAAAATATGTCAGCTGCCTCAGTGGGGTTGCTATGTTGAAACAAAACATCTAGCACTACTGGCACTACTATATAAACATTATAAACTCCCGGCGGTAGAATCTTCGGCACAGTTCTATCAACGCTACAAACCCTCGGCTGTAGAAGTTTCGGCAAAGTTATAAAATCCTCGGCCGGGGAATCCTCGGCATTGCTATGAATCCTCGGCGACAACCCTTTTTAGGACCACTTTTCGCAAGGATGTACTTTTTGAGGTCTTAGGACTTCTTGGGTTATATATTATTTATATTAATAATATATATATATATGCGTGTGTGTCTGTATGTATGAGTCAATTTACATCTTCTACAATGTATGGCAACATATTCCCCAGCTGCTTCCTCCAGGCGGATGGCTGGATGCCCCAAGATCTCTCCAACTTCCTCTGGTCCAGCGCAGCGCTGCGGTGCGACCTGCCGCTACCTCTGGAGCTCATCGCCCAGCGTGCGGCGCAGCTCACGTGGCAACAGTTTAAGCCGCAGGATGCCCAGGGATCCCGCTGGGGACACAGCCATAGCAACGGGGACCCATAGCCTCTGGTAATTTGTTACGGAGCTATTGAAAATGGCCCATTTAGTTCGTTGATTTTGCTGTTAACATGGTGATTTTCCGGACTTATGTTAGTTTACCATAGGGGTATAACCAACAATAGGAGAATAGGACCATCATGAGTCACTTTATGATTAGTTGGTTGATCCAAAATAGATGTAACAGGATTTCGGAAAGTTGGAAACCTGGAGACGAAACTGGCGGATTTTTTTTCCGAACTATTATCCTGGAAAGATGTTTTTCGGCATCTGGGTTTTGGGGGTCGATCATCGTAATTCCAGGACATTGTTGCCCCGCAAGTTTGAATTAAGATAATTCAGGGGTGTCATTTTGGGTGCAGGGAATAGGTCGAATAAGAACTCACTTGTTCAGGAGCAAACCGCTGCCGGGATTTATTGATCCCCAAAGGTCAAGCATGGCATTCCCACAGATCACCCATGTGCATCCCGGGGTCTCAAGGTTTGACCAGTCAGAAGGCAAAAATCCAACGGTTTCCAGGATGTGATTAATAAATGGATATGATTATTCAATTAGCTTCAGAAATTTATTTCGGATTATTTCCGCATGCTATTCGCAGTTTCAACCCATTTTTCCCCCAATTTTCGGTGACCAACTTAACTTGGTGACTTGGTAATTTGGATATCGATATCTGGCGCATGACTGACTAGCTATAGCGATCTCGTCTTTTCGCGCCTCCCTGTGAGTAGGAACCAATCGATCTCAAGGGAATACTGCCATTTATATCCATTTATATCAGTTATATAATTTATAGTCATTTATAGTCATTTATCAAGATGATTTCCTCATTGCTTAGAAAATGGGAGATTTCCCCAAGTGATCGCCATTGGAAAAATGAGTGCTTCAATCAGCAAAGTTGGCTTCCCATAATTTTCCGGTGCCAGAGCTGTTGTTTTTTGGATCGCGGTGGTGCTCCAAGAACTGCACAGAGAGAGAGAGAGATGTTTGTTGCTTTACCGCCATTAACTCGTTGGATGATGTTGGGTATATTACACCATGGTTCACCTAGTTCTAAACCAATTTGATAGGGGGCATTATATCTGGTGATATCGCCACCTCGTGTGCTGTTCAAACCCCCATCTTATGATTGTCAAACCACCATTTTCACGGTTGAACTGCATTTGTTCTTCTTAAAATCCTGATGTTTGATGGTTAACAACCTGGAGCCACGGGGTAGGAGCTCTCCATCTGCATGTGGGCTGCCTACACCCTGGGCGTGGTGGACGGCCGTGGGGCTTCCATTCGAGCCGTCAAGCGGATGTTGCAACATGCTGCGCGAGAGATCCGCGTGAGGGGAGCGGAGGCGACCTTGGAGCAAGGGGACCCATACCCTCTGGTAATTGAACATAGCTATTGAAAATTGCCATTTGTAGTTCAAATACCTATGAAACATGGTGGTTTTCCCTGGCCATGTTAGTTTACTGGAGGGTATGGGATGAGAAATAAGGCCATAGGGGTTTATACATGTCCAGTGGTTAGAGAGCAGTGAAGGGAGCTAGGGGTATCCATACTCGCTCAATGCGGAGCCAAGGGGCTACTAAGACACATGTACTGTATGTATGCATACATATATATATATATGTGTGTGTGTGCGTGTAATATGTGTATATATATATTTTTTCATCGGCCTTTTGAGACAATCTCGCGGCGTACATGCCTAGCACCATCAACGCTTCGGTTGATAGTCAGCTCGCATCAACCGAGCGGGATCCACCCTGCTCGACTGACGCCCTAATTCAATGGCTACAGATTCAAGTGGTCCAACGGAACTCTGCAAGGCCCGCTGGGAGATCTGCCGCCAAAATGCTGTGGCAAAGCACCTGCATAGATTCGATGGGTACTCCTTGGCCTGGGCCGTCTTGAAGTGCCCTTGTGCATCACGGCCAATCAATGGCTGCAACTGTCCAGGATTGATTGCCATCGCATTTTCCTCCAGAACTTCAATGATGGGGCAATGTGCATGGAGCAGAGTGGTTGGCTTTCTTCCGCTGGCACCATGTCGTCCTTGGGCAAACGTGTGCCTCCTGAAAATCCATCCATCACGGAGAAGCAGAAGAAAAACACCAGTTCGCCAAATCGCTGGCCTTTCTATCTGATGCGGTGGTGCGGGGTGTTCCAGCAGCACACTTCCTCCTGAGAAGGCCACTGGGACACACAACCATAGGCCCCGCAATAGCAAACAGTTTCCCACAGCTATTTGCTCAAGCTCAGCAATGGAAAGGCCTGATAGGCCCCAGCAGCTCTGGGCGCTGCGTAAGGGCCTGGGCCCCTTCAGAACATTGCCCTCTGCATCAAAGAGCTCTGCAAAACGAGCACTCGACCAAGTTTCGCAGGGGGGCCCCAGCAAGAGTGCTAAAATGCGCCCACCTCTCGCCGCAGTCAGAAGGAAGGACCAAATTTTCCTACTATGCACGTCCATGCCATCATGGATGGCCGTGTCGATGGATATGACCGTGATGGCAGAGCTCCAGGCCACGGATCCAGAATCCACCAATGTTTGCATGCGCGCGTGAAAATCATCTTCACGTCTGCGACCAGCATAGAGGTGGATAATGTAATAAGGACCCTGCACTGGGGTCGGAGCCCGCTTTGGTCGAACTGCCATTCGCCAGCTCCGTCGGCGAAGTTCCTCACGGGGCATGTCCTGAAAGTCCATGATAATAGGATGTGCTCGAGGCTTACGTGGTAGCGGAGCAGGGATAGATGGTCGTTCTCGTTGGGGTTCTCCTTGTTGAAGTCGATCCCATTGTGCTTGCAGCATCTTCATGCGGCCTTGCAAGGTCCATGTGTGCGTGTCTTCCAGGAGGGACATATGTGCTTGTTCCAGCACTTCCAGAGCATCATAATCGTCAAATCTTTCGCAAAACATGTGAAAGCCAGTCTCAATCCAGTGAATAAAAATTCGAGCTGCTTGAAATTCTGGAACTCCAAGATCTTGAAAAAGATTGAAGAAAAGGTTATGGAAATGCTCCTCAGTCGGCTGGTCCGTCGCAAACCACATGGTCAGGCATTCTTCAAAGCGCCGGATACATGTGTGGGTCAAGGTCTGATCCGTGCGTGGGTCCCACCAAGCAAAATATTCCTGTCCTTCTTCCTGCAGGCGGCTGATGGCTTGGCGAACACGAAGTCTTTCGCGATGATGGGCAGTCGGCCGTAGGGGGCCATGATGCTTGCGTGTGGCTGGGAGTCGGTGGACACCTCGCAGATGTGCTGGCATCCCAATGTTGGCTGGATCTCCAGGAGCTCGTACTCCATAGATCCTTTCCCAGCACTTGTTGGGTCTGTAACGAAGGTGCTGGCTGACTCGAAACGACGTGTGGAATGTTTTGAGGCAGCCTGGACACACTTCTGATTGGACATATTGACATTCTCGTGCACGTACACCATGGAGCCTAAAGGCATGGAGTGCAAGTTGTTGCCCAGATGGAAATACAGCTGGGCACTGTTTGCAATGATATGCGCATGTGACAGATGAATGTTGATCTTCATCATCTTCAAGACGCATGCCAAAATGTTCAAGCTCCGCAATGATGTTCTGGCGGTAGTACCGAATGTCAAATGCAATCTTTTCCTGTGTGGTGTGCTGTCGAACTGCTCGCTTCACCCAAGTTTTCCATTGCGGGCATGTACGCAAAGCATGCCATGTCTGGATCCATTGGGGTCTGGAGGCAGGCTGGTCAAAAGGGAGCTCCTTGAAGGTGCTCAGCCACTGCAGGTCTTGGGCTACCTCATGTAGCCACCCTTTGCCTGACGTCAATTCTTCCAGAAGCAAGGTTTTGTGAGCGGTGATGCCATGCTTCGCCACATTTTGCAGATAGCATAAGCGGTGCCGTGCAAGGTGGATTCTAAAGGACATTAACTCATGCTCCTGAAGAAAGTCCCTGTCTGCAACCCGCTCATCTGACCAAAAGCCAACACCATATATCTTCCTGTAGTTGTCAGTGACCATTGCTTCCAGTCTTTTGTAGGAGGCTGCTGAAATTTCAGTCCAAATAGCGCATCCATACAGGAGCCTTGATAAGATCAAGCTTTGAAACAAAGAAACACGGCCTTGGATTGGGATGGCAGTGTTCAGGAAGATCGCTTTCTTCATCTGTTCAAATGCCTGCCTGGCAGCTCCGAGGCGAGCATCAATCTCCTTCTCCAAGTCCAGGTTCATGGCAAAACGGATACCAAGATGTCGGTAAGACGCTGCAACACGAACTGAAATGACATGCGAGTCCGTGGCCACAACCACTCTTGGGACCTCATCCTTGTCAAACATTTCAGTGCGGCACTTGACCGATCCCTCTCCTCGATACATCACCACCAACTCAGTTTTGCCCGGGTCCAGATTCAGAGACAGGCCTCTATTGTTGAAAGCAGTATGCGCAGCCTCAATTGTGTATTTGATGAGCGAGGTCAACTTGTGTGGCTGAACAGTGGCCAGAGAGACTGCCACATCATCCATCCATGCAATGGGCGGGACACACGTTCCTAGTGCTTGAGCACCATCACAGAAGTCCTCATTGTCCATCAATGCCGTCTGCAGGTCTTTCAATAGATCTGTCATCATCAAATTGAACCCAATATCAGCCAAAGGGCTGCCAGGCCTCGTTCCACGCAGGGTGTGGGTGCAGTTGGTTTGCTCCTGCTGAAGGCCTTTCAAGTGGAACCATGTGTGCTGATGCACATCATGCAGGAATCTCCTCAGCCCTGGCGGGATGTCAGTGACAGGCTTTTCACACAGCTCCTCAAGTTGTTGGTGGAGTTTCTCAATGTCAAAGTCATTGGCATCAAGCATCCTCGCAAGCGTGTCTTTGAGGAGGTGGTTGTGCGTCGCAAAAATGAGTTCACGGAGCATGTGATGGAACGCCGACCTTAAGTCGACGAAAAGGGTGGCTGTTGAAATGCCCTTGCTTTGCCCGACGAGGCTGTGCAAACGCACGATTTGCACTCCAGTGATCGTCTGCTGTGCAGGGAGCCCACCTAGCTGACCTATGGTCTTGCGCTGTGTGAGGGTTGGTAGCAATCGTCGCCTGGTCCATGCATGGGTCACCTTTGCAAACGAATCGGCGAGGATGATGCCACGGTAGCCTGTCGCATCGTCGACATGGCTCTTGCCTTTGTGGATTGGGCAAAGGATGCCACCTTTGAATGTAGCAGGCTCAATTCCTTGCAGAAATGACTTGCAGATCAAGGAATGCAACTGTGGCGCGATGGCAACCGATCCATACTTGCACAAGTCAGAAGGGATGCCGTCTGGTCCTGCTGCCTTCCTGGGTTTTTGTGCAAGGCATAATTGTTCTACTTCTGCAAGAGTTGGTAGTTCATGAAGCTGTAGATGAAGGCAGTCAGGAGCCTCGTCTCTTTCATGATGAGACCGAAGAATGCATTCCTGTTTCAGCTTCTCAAATGATTTCATTGTGCCAGCTTCAAGGCGTTCAAAGTGCCATTGTAATTCATCATCGATATCACGATGTTGTTGATTCCGCTTGGCACGATGTTTGGGCTGTAGAGCACGAATTTGTTTCCAGATACATTGCAGGCCTTCAACATGATATGTTTTGGAAGCTCGTTCAGCAAGGTCTGAGTAGAACTTGGCATCTTCCTCCTTGATGGCTTGCTGAACTCTACTCGCGACCTGCTTGTAATCACGCACCGTCTGTGCTGTGGAAACATCATGAAGTCGTTGCCAGCCAGGAAGGTCGTGCAACAACAATTGATACTCTTTGTGTGCTGATGGAGACAGAAGGGAATCCTGGTGGGTAGCAAAACGCCATCCACGGAAGCAGGCTTGGAGCGTAGTAAAGAGCTCCGCTCGTTTAAGCGCTCGAAGTTGCTTGTAGAGGAACTTCTTCTGATCAACAAGCTGCCAAGTGCTTTGGGAAACATGGGATTTCCTCTTCCATAATCGCATTGGCTTGGCAATCGCTTGCATAGCACTTGTCGTTGACATTGCTAGCCATTCAGCACTAGAGTGCGGGTCCAATGACCATGGCGGGGCAACTGTAGCATGATGCAGAAGTGACAGCCCTTCGTTGCAATGGAGTTTGTCACGAAGATCACCCACATCCGGCTTGTAATTACGTTTGTATTGAGCAGCGGGATGTGTCTGTTGGGCTTTGAAACCAAAGCGGCAAAGTACTGCCCTGTGATCTTGCCTTTGGATACCAATGTCAACATCAAGCTCGACCTTGGACTCAATCTTGTTGTATTGAATTTCCAAAGGGAGGGCAATGTAGTCAATTCTTTTTTCATGCTCACTCCCAGGTGCCACAAAAGTGGTGTGCTCACTGCCAACATGGTGCTCAGGGAACGTGGCTGGCACAAACAGGTTGTTGTGTAACATCCAATTGTGGAAAAGTTGCCCTGCTTGGTTTTCTGCATCTGGGTGTAGTGGCCCAACCGCTTGTGTCACAAATTCACCAAGGTGCGCGTTGGCATCGCCGCAGAAAATGACAGGAAGGCCTGCTCCTTGTCTTTGCAGAACTCCAGTGAGGTGATTCCAGAAGGCATGCGCCTCTTCACGTGGTCGCCCTGAATGAGGAGCTCTGCCAGTGATAATAATAACACGCCAAAAATGAATTTTGACCTTGGCCACGATGAAATTGGGTGCAGAGTCGACAATTCGAACATCATGTGGGGAAATTTTTGGGCCATTCGGCCACGCTGGGATCTTCTTGGAAATCCACAACTGCACTCCGTCTTGCCCAGTTTTGGTGGCTTTGTGGCTGTAGATATGGTAATGTTCATTGTTCGCACCCGTGACATGCTGGTGTCGTGTTTCTTGCACACCCACAATGATGCAGTTGGCCGCCTCAAACTGTTGCATGAGCACAAACTGGCGTGAAATAGATGAGGCATTCTTGGTTTCATTTGCCAGCGTGAGGACATTGGCCGTCGCAATTGTAATGTCAAATGCGCACACTGTCTCCTCATTCTGTGATGGGTTGGACTGGTGCGGCACTTGCATTGTTGCTGCTGAGACTTTAGGCTGCAATAGATCATCAAGTGGGCAAATCATCTGTTCCTTATGAAGGAGGGGCACTCGAGGGTCAGCCGCTGTCATCAACTCTGCATACCAGAGCCATTGGAGGGCAACCTGTTTGTCATCATTGTACATCCAGCTTTCCCAACAGTGACTTTCATTGCTGCCCTGGTTTCGAAGTGCTGCATACTTCGCAAGTGCATCAGCTCCTTCGTTCCACGGGTGCTCTGCATGAGCTTGCACATAGTTCCATGCCAGGTGCTCAAATCCATGCCTGGTAGTGAGCAGTTGTGCAAGACTCCTCATTGTGGTTCTCCAACATGGTTCAAGCGTGGAACTCCAGTAGCCCGCTGCAACATAACCAGCACTAGTGGCATCAAAGTTGAACGTGAAGGAGATGTCAGCTCTGCCCTGTTGCAGCCATATCTCATCACTGAGGTTGATCGCCCATAAAAGTGCCCATATGATGGCTCCATTCTCTCCAACAATGGAAGTGCTGCCAATATTGACAATTTTGTTAAGGCAGCCTCCAAAATGCCATCCTCTGTCGCTTTCCACCAGCAGTAGTACTGCAGATCCAATTGTTCCTGTGGGTGCTTTGGATCCATCAGTGAAGAAATGGAATGTCTTTGGCATGCTGTTACCCAGCGGAAGGAGCGCATCAAATGCAGGTTGCATGGCATCAGGAATCGGAAGGTCAACAGGCCACTCTTGCCCAAACATGAATGAAGTTGACTTCAATTCTTCAGCCAGTCGGAAAACAGAGGAGAGGTCCACTTTGACTGTTGGCGACGGCTTAATCAGCTCATCGAGACAAATGGTTGTACGAGCAGGCCACTGGGTGTGAGCTACCGACCCAGTTGTTAGGCGCCTGTCGTCATCCTTGTTTTCCCTTGCTTGGTCAGTGGTCGACCTGCGTAAAATTCGCCAGTGATGTTGAAGAAGGTTCATAGAGGAGCTCGCTTGGGCGTCCCTCTCTTCATCCTCTACATCATCATTCCAATAGCTCTGTGGGCTTGGCTGAATGATGAGCATGAAGGTTTGTCCATGTTGGCATCTGTAGGGTGCAGCATCATTGAATTCCCATCCACCTTGCCAGGTGCTGCAGGTGGTATATGGGTTTCGTGGTGGGCAGTCATCTTCACGATGAACTGCTTGGAGAAGCATGGATTGGCCAACAACATGTGGTAGGATGACTGCCGTGATGTATGGGACAAGCCGCAAGTAGTCGTTGAAGACTGTTGCAATGGTGGCTTTCTCTGTAGGCCCAAGATGTTGGTGCACAATGATGTGCAGTCCATAGCCACTTGAGTACCCAGCTGGTTGATCCTCAACGATCGCAAATTGTACGTCAGCATGTGGGTCAAGCAAGTCTTGCCAAGCTCGTTGAAGCTGGCCTTCCCATGCAAAGAAGTCATCTCCAAGCGTGACTGTACGGGTCTCATCATTGGAGCGGATGCGCTCTGCTTGAAGACACCAAGTAGTCACATGCAGGAGTCTTTCCATGTGTGCAGGGCCAAATCTAGCATGGACATCCCAATGATCAAACAGGTCTTGCGTGAACTCAGATTGATCTACTATATCAGGGGCCATTATTTGGTCAGCATCGGGATCAGGTTCAGGACCAACCGGAATAGGCAACCATTGTGGAGTAACAACTTGTTCATCACCCACATGATACGTGACGACCGGTGGGTGAATGTTGAAAATCAGTCCATCTCCATGTTGGATGTCAATCATGTCTCCTTGCAAATAGCGATGAAATCCTTTCTGCAAATCGTAGTGCCTGTCTATACAGACCCGACCCATGTTGCAAAGGTCTCTGATCGCAAAAGCACTTGTTGGGCTTCTCGCCACTGCAGCCACATGGTTTAAGCCCGTGCGCCTATCTGTCAGAAATCTGATGGTCAGCAAAACTGCAGAAAAAGGCGGTAGCACTCGTTGTGAAACAATCAAGTGTCCAATGTTCCAACTTGTATCATGTCTCGGTGGTTCAGGCTGCACATACTGGCAATTGATGGTAGTGGTGAGATCAAGTCTATCACGCCACAAATGTATCAGGTCCTGATACCAAAGGTGGGTGTGTTGGTCAAGCTGCAATGTGCGACTTTCCTCCGTTTTTTGCTCATATGATCCACTCACAAACCAGGTAATGACAAAGGCAACAGGCCCTTCTTCTTCACAGGCTGTATCAGCTCTCTCAGCAAAGACTGATTGAAGTGTGTTAAACCATGTTTGTCTTGGTGGATCATGTGCAGGCTGCTGTCGATGGGGAAGGAATGTTGTCGGAGTCATGCATGTGAAATCTGATGTAGGGACCTCATGTCGCTCACTGCAGCGAGATTTCATGATAGGAACCTCATAGGTATCACTTCTGATTTGTAGACCAACTTGTTCATCATTTTGCGGTTGTGCCGCCTCAATGTCAGTGAAAAGCTCATCTGCATTCGGATTGTGTTGATGCCTGATTTCAATCTCATCTGCATTGAGTCCATGTTGACAGGCTTTCACTGCAAAGTAGGTTGGCACATTTTCGGTTCTGAAGGGTGGCACTGCGATCTTGATGTAATCACCATGTTCTAAAACCAATGTGCTCGCGGCTTGAAATGGGATCAGGTTACCGCGGTGCCATAAAAGGCATCTGTTCAGGCTAACACGGCAGTACTGGGCAACACCTGCAATTCGTAGCAGCTCTGAACGATGGATTGGTGATGGCAGCATGGTTGTATACCTGTCAATTTCCACTGTAGAGTCAAAACTTGATCCATGAAGTTGGACGTCAATGAGGACTGCACATCGGTTGTCTCCAAATAGAACATCATCATGTTGTACTAAAAGGAGAGGTTGAACATGCATGTACTGCATCAAGGTCTGCAGGTGAAGGAATAATGTCAAAGATCTCAGCGACCTCATGATGGGTATATCCAAGAAGCCTGCGTGCCTGTGCAAATGTCGCTTCAGGTGGCCACACTTGGATGCGGCCTCTTCCATAGTTCGATCTGAGGTCATATATTTGAACAGATCTCCAACGTGCATCTTCAGGAAAAGATGATGGGGAGGAAGGCTCATGCGTTTCAAAGTCAGAGTCTGTCCCGTCATTCGTTGGCTCAGATGGCTCACGAGGCCTGTGTTGCCTGGCCATCAGGGAGATCATGTCATCAATGGTGTCTTCGACAGATCCAACGTCATCATCACGTAGTGGGGCTGCTCGAGGAGGGTAATATTCTTCAAACACATGTGCAAATGGCTGGAAGCACACTTGTTTGGGTTTCTGTTGAGATTTTGCTGCATTTTTGAGCATCGAAGGAGGGCCAAAACATTGTGTTCTCTCATACCCAGTTGCAACGAGCAAAGGATCAACTTCAGAAAGGACTTCATTTCGAAGGAGCATCGCTCTGCCAAGTGCAGTGGGTTCGGACACAAAAGATGGGTCCCAATGAATACTGTGGCACCGAATCATGAGGTTCATAGAGCTATCGATGAGGTCCGGAGTGCATGCTGCATCGACACCAAAAGGATGACGATAGGCCTCAACATTCTCGGTCACCTCTTTGCAAAGTGGTGGCACACGATGCGCATTCCGCAGACATGCCGCGTCGCTGCCAGAGCTCATGATCTGGGTGATGAAATAGAAGGAGCACCACCCAATCCAGTTTCTGGTCCTCCAAATGGCTCCATCGAACGCTGACGTTTGGATTTCCTGTCGCCTTCCTCGTCGGAGGGAATTTCCATCGTCTCGTTCTCTTTGGAGGCCGCTTCGATGCTTTGCTGGAGACTTTCTTGTACTTGCTGGACAAGTGCTTGTGCCTCTGCCTCGAAGGCAGCACTCGCTTCCACATCTGTTGTCTCTTGCTGTGCATCTCCAGCCATTGTTGACATCGGAGTTCCTGAGGCAGCAGCTTGCCTGTTCAGGTTCTGTAGGTGCCTCCTTGAAGACGTCAATTCCTGCTGTGCCTTCAGCATTTGATCTCCATATTCCTTCTGCTGGTCCTTGAAAACTTGCAATTGTTTCTGCCAGCTCTCTACGGAGTCTCTGAGGTGCTTCAGCCAGTTCTGTCTGTGCGCAGCTCTGGCCTCTTTGACATTGGACAGCTGTCGTGCAGCCTTGCCAACCTGATTGGACGCCTTGTTGAGGTCTTTGGAGAGCGCTTTCGATGAGGTCTTCTCGGCCTTCTCGACTGCTCTCTGTATCTCCTCTGGTGCTTGTGCCATGTCGGGGAAAGATTTTCTGACAGCTGCTAGCCACTCTGCATTGGCCATTGTTGCAGCTGTTTGGGTAGGCGGGATTGGAGCTTGTGCTGATGCTGAGGTAGCAGCATCTTGAGCTGGCCAGGGTGGGATCTGTGATGCATTGCTCTGCACTGCATGCTGATTGTGATCTCCTCGTCCTTGCCCTTTGCGACCTCGTCCCTTGCCTTTTGCACGTCGACGTGCACTTTCGCTTCGATCTTTCCCTTTTGTGTGCCCTTTGGTTGGAGGATTGTTGCTCCAATAAGTCCAATCCTCCCATTGCGAAGTGGCATCCCTTCGCCTCGGAGATTTCGGCTCGTTGGAGTGGCGCTCTCCTACTGACCAGTGGGCACAGCAGTCCGGACAGTATTCGTGTCGTTTTCCGTTGAGACGTCCACAGCTGCATCGCCATGGGTAGCTGTCCATCGCTGTCGAAGCCATTCTGACTTTCTGGATGAACTTGGGGTCTCGGGAATGGTGCGAGGAAAGTGCCGTTGCCAGCTTTGTCAACTGCCCACCAGAAAGAGTTTTCAGCCCTGTTCTGTGCAGATACCAAGCTCTCCTTGCAACTGACCGCACTCGCCTCTGCCTTCTTCTTGTTGAGTCCGTAGCCGTTGTTGGCGTTGATGAAATTCACGAGAATGAAAATGAAGAAAATCAAAATCCGCATCAACAAGGATTGTACAAATACCCAGCAAAGTTGGAGCTAAAGAGGAAAATCACTCAGAAGCAGGCCAACTACCAGACGTAAATGTTGATCCAATAGGTACAAAAACCAGGTGAAGTGGGAGCTGTAGAGGAAAATCACTCAATAGCAAGCCAAATCCCAGAGGTAAATGTTGAACCAAATGAAGAGTTAAGCGCAAATGCCAGGGTCCGTGGACAGCCAGTGGGATAAGCGCAAAACTAATAAATATTGAATTGAAATGTGAATTGGAGGGCAATGCAGCCAGGGTCAAAGACAGCCAGTGGGTGCAGCCCAGCAAATGATGTCAAAGTCCCTGGCGGAATAGACCTTGAACAGGAGCAACGGTGTTGTCAGCTAGCGCAAAACTGACAGAGCACAAGAGGCCACAGCTGCGTGCCAGCAGCCCAGAAAGCCCGTGGGAAGCGCAGCTCCAATGGCTTCCCACTAAGGTCAACGACGGGTATCACTCCTACCCTGTGCCCTGCTGGGGGGGAAGTGCTTCCCAACCAGGACACTCACAGCCGAGACCTTGTATATATATATATATAACTATATATATATTTTTAATTATACATTATATATTTAATTATATATATAATATTATATATATATGTGTGTGTGTGTCTGTGTGTGTGTGGGTTTGTCTGAAAAAAATAGTTGAACAGCCCAAAATCTATTGGATTGTCATCATGTCTGAAAATCGCCATTTGCGGATATACCCCTCAGACACACCCATATCTAAATATGTATGTATGTAAACATTTTGAGAGAGAGAGAGAGTAAATTACAGCCATCAAGAATGGTGAGAAATATCTTGGGATGATTGCTGACTTCTCACATGTTTTAACCATAGAAATGGGATGATGATCCACAATGATTATTTTTCATGTTGTTCAGATGGGTTGAAACCACCAATTGGATTTTCCACAAATAATATAAACACATTCGTGGTTTAAGCTATAGGATTTTGCACCAGTACTGGAAATTTTCCTGTGTGCATCGATGGGGACATGGGGACGTGAACCACTTTTGTGAGGCTACCTCATTGGTACCAAAGCCACATAAACCGTTGTAGTTGAAAATGGAATGCCATAGATATCTATAGATCATTTTGCTTCAGGCAACATCGCATGAGTTGGCTAAGATCCTTGATGTGCTAACTTGGGACCCCAATATGTTCATAGCCGGGGAGACCTTACAGAGCTTCATATGATGGTCATCTTTGGGAAAAAAAACGAAAACGGCATGGATGCTACAGGGAAAACGCTAGACATCGGAATGAAAGATCGGGAGTTCTTGCTGCCAGACTGGTTGGAGGGAAAACTGTGCAGGAAACAATATGTTTGTTCTTTCTTTCACTGTTGTCAAACGTCAGAGTTTACATAGCACTGTTTTTTAAAACAAACCCAGTAGCATTTAGTAACCATCTTTTCTTTGGTATAGTTCCCGCTGTTCTAGTTTAAATTAGAGTAAACCTGTCGGTGTCAGGGTAGCCTTTTTTCTGGCATAAATAATGGTTGTAAAATAGCGAGACGTGCCCCCAAAAAATGCAAACTATTGCAAACTTCTGCCTGAGTTTGGCCGGCTTGAGGTTGAAGCAGCAAATGTGGTGTGATTTTACAAAGAGTATGGAGCAAAACCACGCAAGTGATTCACACCCTGCTGCCGTTCTTGTTTGTGTTGGTTCATATCCCTATTTGTTGGTTAATATACATATATATATATATACATATATATATATGTGGTTTGTATCGCCATTTGTTGATTCATATCCATTAAATCATATTAAATCTCCCTAAACCCTAGCAGCCCCATTTCTTAAGCTTGATATAATTCGCAGGCCCATTTGCTGGCCCACGTGCCCACGTATTTGTTGATATGTAGTTCGGGCATTGCCCACATCTATTGCCGGGCATGAAAAATTCACATTTTTTGGCAATTATTTTCACTATTGGTGATGAAATCCATTGAAATCCAATTTGCTAAAATCATTTAAAATCGCCGAAATGTTCAAAAAACCATAAAACCCACATATCTTGAGAATTGGATGATGGTTGTTGTTTCGGGAAAACCTTTAAAACAAAGTTGCAAAAAGCAATGGTTTCCTGTAAGCCAATCCATAGAGTGCTGCGGGCTGGTTCACCCCCCTGCCGCAGTTAGGATTTTGAAGCCCGACACCTGTTGAACTCGGCTTGGGCTTTGGCACGCTGGCAGCGGCATTGCCGACTGGTGGGGTGGCAACAGGAGCAGTGGAAATGGTGCCTGAAAATGGGGCTGTTTACCACAAAAATGATCATTTTGACATAGAAAACTGACGTTTTTCAACCATGAATTTGTGAATAGTCATAGCATGTCATAGCCTATTTTCAGACAAACCCAAATGATGAGAATGATGGTCGAAGATGGAGTTTGTTGGAGGGACAACCTGCAGGAAAAGATGAATTTGATGACAAACATGGGGAGTTCCTGCATGTTTTCCTTGGACAAATTCTGAATGGGGGAACATCGAAGCTGCAGCAATGTTATTACCCATAAATTGAACATCGAATCATCGAACGGGGAGTGGGCACAATTCAGTATATTCACCTTCAAGAAATGGTAAGATTAAGCAGGGTTTTCAACAAGAATGCTGAGTTGACCGCTGACAGTTTTTGAAACTCCAATAACTAAGGTCTATGGATGTCTATGGTAGAGATATCAGTTATTAATGGGGATTCTAAACTTTCTAAACCAACAAACAGAACTGAGGGACTGAGGGGTACTGCAGGAGTGCAAGGACTATGTTTGCAGACCCGCCCTGCGGATTCTGGCCGAAGCTGCCAAGAACGGCGGCTTCCAACGGTTCCGCCCGCACGAACTCTCACGCTTGATCTGGGCAGTCGCCAGTCAATCCTGTTGGGGCAGCCCAGGGATGCTCCAACAGGAGGTGGGTAGTGCCCAAACCCCGACTGCCAAACAGGATGGGCAGTCGTAGTGAAAGACTATGAAAGTCTAATGGCCAATGAAGATATCAAGTAATGTGGTAAGGCCAACAATAAATGGGTAAACCATCGCCAATCGACGTTTCTTATTTGGTTTGCCACACAGTTTCCCGCCACCAAAGTTCGCTCGAGGCCTGAAATTGCGACCAATGGGTCCTCCCTTGCTGGACTATGTGAGGTCTGGCCGGCTCTGAGCAGTTGAGGCATCATGGATATGATATCCGGAAACGTACCTGTTCATGATCAGTTCATATCTTTTTGAAGAAAAAGTCTATGGAGTAGCTACCCAAATAGACTCAACATGGAGCATCAACTGCCGTAACGTACTTTTTTTGACGACAGAGAATGTTTTTTTTCCATTTCATGGAGCCGAAACAGCAAGGTGAGATGACCATACCAACTGTTCCCATTTTCGATTCGGCTTGCGACATGGCATGGACCCCTGAAACCATTGGTTCATCACCATTTTCCTACATTTCTCCTTCTGAAAATTGTCATTCATTAAAATCTTAGGCATTTTCCTACCATTTTCAGACACACCCAAGATCCCCAAGATCATATTATGGTTGATAAGTATATCTCATTCATCTCCCATGATATCTCCATCAATCCCATGGGGAAATCCCATGGGAAATCACCGCGCTGGAGGTCTCCCGAGAAGTTGGTGGCTTTTGATCCCGACGCTTTGGTAAGTTTGGTTCGCGGCCCCAGATCGGCTGGAGCTTCTGCACCACGGTTTATGAATTGTGGGGGTACCCTCCAAATAGTCACAATATGTCACAATATGATACATAAATGGTACCCCCCCCAATTAAACAGCCTAGGGTTTTTTGTCTATGATCTAGGGTTGACATTATTAATTATATATGACATATTAATGGGATAATAATGGAATAGTAGGATAATAATGGAATATTAGTGGGACAACAATGATATTAACGGGATAGTAATGGGATATTAATTGAATAAATCCGGTATATTGATGAGATAATAATGGGATATCAACGGGATAATAATGGACTATTTACAGTATGATAACACATGGCATATTTATGGGATGACAATAAATGGGACAATAATGGGATAATTGATCATGCGGGAATATAACGATTCATATGGTGATAACAATGGACAATGATTGTATTAATGGTGTTAATTGATGTACCCTCCATGTCAGCAACCATGGCTAGAAAATGTCCCATTGATCGATGATTTTCCCATCTATAAACCTCCAATTATTCCCTCATTGCCACGTTTGATTGCCAGAGGGTAGGTAAATTTCCTGATTTTGGGTCAAACATGATGGAACCATGATGATTAATTATTGTAAACAAAGAGATTCGGAGACTAGAACCAGGAGAAACTGCATCACCCACACAATTTGACACTAATTGTAGAAACGGGACTACACCTAGTTGGTTAGTTTGTTAGTCAGTCAGCTTTTCTAACTCAACCAAAAGAGATAGAACCCAACATAAGGTGAAAGACATGTTTCAGTATACTTCAGTGAACAACTTCAGCATCTTCACCCCTAAAAAATCGTCTGACAGTGATGATTTCCACCTTAGGTCACCTCATTAGCGTGGATCTTGGAACGCTTGGTGTGGGAACTTCCAGGAAGACGAACGCATTCGCGGATCGTTCCAGAGAGTTCCTCCAGAGAGCTTTTTGCGTGGCAAAAAATGATGAGAGCGGGAGTTTTAGATCAAACTGAGGGAAGTTTGCTGCGAAAAACTTTACTTATTGTGTTTTGGATGATTTTGGATGATTTTGGATGATTTCGGATGTAGAAGTTACTGATTTACTGCAATTGAGGTGGAAGATTCATATTTTGGACTATGACGCAGGCTTCCCCATCTTGGGCGCCAGCTAGTGGAATCTGCAGCCAGAGGCCCCAGGGAAGTTCCAGCCATGGACCCTGCAGCTTTCGTGGGCAGCAGTGGCTCGGCGCTGTGGGATTTTTGAGGATTTTGACATCCGGCCATTCACCATGGAACAACGTTAGTTCCTATCCAACATTCCAAGTGGCTCTACCAAATCTGGGCATGGAAAAATTCAGTACCAAGCGCCGTTGACTGCACTCATTTCCATATTTTCTATCAGTGAGATTGTTTCTTGATAGCTACCCTCTGGTAAACTAACATAGCTACGGAAAATCACCATCTTCAATGGGTAAATCAATCAACATCAATCAACTATAAATGTGCCATTTTCAATAGCTATGTCAATGTTCTGAGGTTGACATTTGTTGAAGTCGCGAGCCCTCCAAGGCGCAGGAGTGCTAGCAAGCAAGCCAGCTGGGCTGGCCGGACAGCAAGCCGGCCAGCCAGGGCAAGCGCCACAACAGCTCCAGAAGCTGAGTTGAAATCGATGGAAAATGGTGGCTTCAACATGGTTAAACATTGTTTTTATTTGTTTATATACTGGTTGGTGGTTTCAAACATGTTTTATTTTCCATAATATATGGGATAATCCTTCCCATTGACTAATATTTTTCCAGATGGTTGAAACCAGTGTCATTTTCCCTGTATATTGCAAGTACCTCATTATCAGACAGGCCCAAATTGATTCAGCAAAACAAGGCAAACATTTTTTGTGTCTGTCAGATAGTATCACAACATGTTCCCATGTGATACTGTTCGAACTGGGCTCGGCTTGGAGTTTGTGGTTTGTTATGTTGCCTGAGAGTGGCTAACTAAGTGATGTAGCGTACAACGATATCTGGGCCAGTCGCAAGCTCCAATTCGTAAGACTGGTATTGAATAAGTACCCTAAATGCCCTCCTGATGAAGGCCGCATGGAGCCCAAATTTTGGTCTGGAAGATTGATTTCCTCTTGGACATGGTTTTCATGTTGAGGTTACTAAATCTCAGAGGATCATCTCGGTTGAGAGTCCTTTGACGGTGATCATCATATGGAATCATATGGTCTTGTCCAAAAAAGTGGTGTTGCCCCTAACTTACCAATTTAACGTTGGATTTTCCGTTTGAATTGCCACAGCTTGGGGCTATACCCCATTCTTGGACAAAACCCACAAGTACTTATCCATTATTATGGCCTAGTTCCCCACTTGGATGGGGTAGTTTTCAATCTTGTGCCAGAAATGGGGAATATCTACTAACCAGCTTAGTCTATATTGTAGAATCAAAATATAGAGATATATTTAATGTAGCATATAGTTATATATATATAATCATTTGCATAATTTCATTATATATTTTAGCGATCCTGGAGTAGATAGAACGTGTAATTGCTAGACATATTCCCATGTTGGTGACGTTTTGTTTGGAAATCTACCCCTTGACGGCATACGACGGCCCCATACACACTTGCAGGGTAACCAAAAGTGTATAGATTCACAATACCCTACATTGTGCTGATATGGCGTCAAAGTTAGAGTATATCTGCAAGGTCGTGCCCCCTAGTTGTAAGTCGGTTTATTCACCCACTACGTGTACTTATAGCTTTTAATCACCATCACCAAAACGCGTAGTTAACCTACTTCTAAACTAACTTCGCTAGCTTTGAGCACCTCCTTGATACACTCCCATTGAGTTTGCACCTTGTTTCCATCTACAGTAGGGCGGGCTGCGTTCATTTCACCCTGCTCTAGATCAGATGAGAATTATATTTCATGATATTTCATGTTATAGTTTGGTGTGCACAGACCGTATGTTATGTATCATATCTCGATACAAATTATTTCAAGGATCTCATACATTGAGATTATCTTGATATCATGTATCACGTGCATTTTTATATTGAATGTATTTTCAGATATTTTATATGTAGATAGTACCCTCTTGTAATCTAACATAGCTATGGACAATCATCATGTTTAATAGGTAAATCAGCTTTAAATGGTCCATGTTCATCCATTTTCCATATATTATGTTAGTTTACCAGAGGGCATATAAACATTAATCATCATTAATCACCATTCTTGACCATTGTCAACCATGATTCACTATTAAATGGAGGTCCTTGTGGCTTTTCACCCATGGTATTTATTATCTATTTTTCCATTGGAGCAGCAAGGGTATCACCCAAGGAGCGGTCTCCTCCCAGCTGTTGCATCTGCGGCGTCCTTCACGGCGGCTTTTCGGGTGAAGCGACAGGCGCGACCGGGGAGGGATTTGTCCGTCAAAGATGATCAAACATGATCTGGTTGGTGGTTTGGAACGTGTTTTTTTTTTGACTTTCCATATGTTGGGAATGTCATCATCCCAACTGACGAACTCATATTTTTCAGAGGGGTAGGTCAACCACCAACAAGTGATGGTTTTAAGAAACAAACTGGTGAAAAAACGAAGTCGTTTCACACAACTTACCCTCTGGTTATTTAACATAGCCATGGAAAATGACCCATTTATAGATGATTTTCCCATTAAAACCTCCATTTATAAGGGTTTTTCCATGGCTATGTTAAATAACCAGATGGTATTTATTTTGTTTTGCGATGAATGGGGGGGTTTGTCAAAGCAACCAACCGCCTGTATCTGATGAAAGATTGGTCAGGCCAAAACCCCCATGAAGCAGAGCAATTCCGTGGCACAGGCTGGCGTTTTGGAGTGTAACGCCTGGGGATTGGGGTAGATATTAAACGCGGGGAACTGGAAGAACTGCCATTTTTCATAGGTAAATCAACGAACTAAATGGCAATGTTCAATAGCTATGTCAAATTACCATATTTGCTTTAATTGCAGCACGTGAATTATGACAAGTTGTCCGGAATTTCAACAATGTGATGTAACCAGCTTCATCCCCCTATCTAAATATTCAATTCTCCCAAGTTTGATCCCAAAAAATGAAATCACATAAGAATGCTAAACCAGGTGTGTTGTTGGGTTTTATCATGTCATAGGTGCTGCAGCCTTCATATATACAGGGTTTGGGTTTGGGTCTATATTAATATCTATATATATATATATATTTCGCCATCCATTTAATTTGGGGAGGGTTTGGTTGCACGGTGCTGTTTCTCGTTGGGAAGCTTCAACTGTATCAGCATGAAATGCGGTGCCGAAAATTTTGACCTGCAGCTTTCCATGACAGTTTCAATGAGGGAGGGTGGCCCCCTACATGATGCTGTTGAACAAGATCTTTGCATCACTCTTGATCCCAATTCGTTCCCCAGGTGGCATTAATGTACCCGGAGGGGTGTCATCAAACATGGCTGGAAATTTCCGAACTAAATGGCTGACAAATGGGAACAAATGGTGGTTTCAAACATTTTTTATTTTCCACAATATATGGGATGTCATCCTTCCCATTGACTTTCATATTTTTCAGAGGGGTTGAAACCACCAACCAGATGGGGATGATAGATGGGTGGTTTTCGAGCAAGCCACGAGGGCCAGATGATAGAGATGACCAAGTAGCAATCACATGAAACCAGCTGACAGGACACCAAGTACTCCAAGTTGGTGAAGGAAGATCGGATGATTACCATCCAGGACTAGCCAAACAATAGGGCACCACTGCTTATACATACACATGCACACACACATAAATGTATCTGGTTGGTGGTTTGGAACATGAATTTTATATGACTTTCCATATATTGAGAATTTCATCATCCCAACTGACGAACTCATATTTTTCAGAGGGGTAGGTCAACCACCAACCAGGTATGTATATACACATGCATACAGTATACATGGGCCGGTCCTGCGCTTGGCGCTTCGAGCGCTTCGAGGCTTAGGTTGGTAGCCACATAACCCGAGGAATTTTATAGATCCGGCTTGATCATTTCAGAGGGGGTGACGATTTCCTTAAATATGGATCCAGTGGTTAGATAATATGCTATTTAACAGGGATAATTATCTAACCACTGGGTCCATATTTAATAGCCTTGATAGGGATATTATAGGGATAATCCCTCTTTTTATGCCTTGACAGGGATTATCCCTATGATAATTATCCTATTTATATGCCTTGATAGGGATAATCATAGGGGAATTACAGGATAATTGTAGGATACTAATGGGATAGTAATGAAATACCCTCCGGTATCATCAAATGTTGCTGGTAAATCCCCGAGGTCATGAAGGTTTAGTTCGCTGGCATGGTTTGTTTGACTACTGGAGTTGTTCCTTGAGATTTGTCAGTCGCGGGGTGTGGGGTTGATAAATTCAGGGACAGTCATGGTATGTGTTGGTAGATGTTAAACTGTTTATGCTTATTATTTATATACTGATTGGTGGTTTCAAACATAAATTTCATGACTTTCCATATATTGGGAATAATATTCCCAACTGACTTTCATATTTTTCAGAGGGGTTCAAACCACCAACCAGTATAATATTTGTACAATCAAGTGGCATATCATCAATGTAGTAAACAGGAACACGTGCAACTCCCAATGGTTTTGGTTGGACAACTCTTAGAAACCAGTGGGATCTACTTGTGCGGTGGGTGGCATGACTCTGCCAGAGCACGGGCTTTGCAAGAGGAATCCAACCTTCGCTACGCCGGAGCCGCTCTCATTTTGCTGGTTGGAATCTACAAGAGCCTGGGATACTGTATATAGGTGACGTCTCACTGTGGCAGGCGCTTCATCCAAGCATTTGAGGAACTAGATGGTGGGATACCAGCTGGAACACGTCCATCGAAGATATGGTCCGATAACCTCAAGGGGTGGACACGTTCTACCAGACAAGGACATGGTAACCCCGAAGCATTGATCAACAAACAATAGCTTGACTTTCTAGAAAAGAAAGTCCGAACAAATTGTGTATAATATAAATTTAGTATATGTACCGTATATATATATATACAGTATAAACAATGCATGAACAATGCGCGAACTTCACACGCGATAGTCGTTCTGGTTAAGCAGTGGCCGCACACCCATTTGCTCGGAGGACCCGAACTACTGTGGATGGAGAAAATCCTGCGGTTGGTAACTATTGGGATTCCTATGAAACCCTGTAAACAAATGTAAATAATGGGATAATGGGATAAACCATCTAGCAATGCAGGATTTCGCAACCACAGTAGTTGGATATCTTCCCCATGAACCCAACAGCCTTAGGAATTATGATTCATTATCCGACCTAGCGCTCACAAAACTGGGGGCACCAGCTTGTACATTCCCAATCCAACAACAAATCCGCAAAAAGATGGTGTGGTACGTGAAAATGATGGGAATCCACATTTGATGCTTGAGAAAAACCATTGTTTTTCTGAAATTGCCAGAAATAGCTGGAATCATGTGAAATCTCCATAAATCAGACACTTCGCACCCAATTTTCATAGGAAATCATGGGGCTCCCGGTGGCAAAGAGGGCCATCGAGGTACGTTGGCATGTGCTCCAGCGGCGTCTTCAACTACGGCAGCATTGCTGCCGACGCAGCTGGGGCCTGGGCGGTCTTTGAGACGGGGCGGCAATCTCTCTGAGGTGCAACCAGTTTTTGGATGGATGTTCCAATATGGAGGTAAACCCTAAAATGGGGGTAATGTGGGTAGAACAATGTCATAAACCACCCCTAAAAATGGTCACGGTTCAAAAACCAGCCATATAAAAATGGTGATTTTGGGGATGGTTTATGGCATTGGCCATTAACCACATTACCCCAACACCTAGTGGGTTTCAATACTGGTCATTCATAACTTGGATGAATTGGAGTAGCCATATTTTAGGAAACTTCATGTTTCTTGCTGAGGTGTCCCCGTACGGTTTGGCCATCGAGTCTCTTCGGTTTGATGATGTTAAAGGCTGTAAAGGTCTGAGGTTGTCATCGAATGTATGGAGTGTGGCTGTCTAGCTGCTTACCCTTAGCAACATATGTTTCTATCGTTTTTGTATGTGTCTCTTGATGTTTTCTACATCTGCAGATTGTGGCAGGTCCTTTTTTCAGTGCTTTCCATCACCTGCCACTGGAGATTCCCAATCGCCCGACGAGCGTGGCCAATGCAGGTTGCGTGCTGGCTTTACGCTGGAGTCTGGATAAACCCTTTTCGATGAGCGAAGCCCCTGCTGAGTACAAGGGCTTCCTAAGCAAGACACCTGGCAGATGTTCAGTGAATGATTCTAGATGGTGGCATGTGTTTTTATTGCAAAACAGGTAGACATAGGTACCAAGCTAAGTAGTTCATTGACAGAGATGCCAACCAATGCATCATATATATTCATATATACTGTATGTAAATATGTGTGCGTGCATAAACCTACGCATAGGCTACCATTCTTCCACTGTTTGCTTGTAAGCCAGCTTGGCAATTGGAAACAGCTATTTTTTGAGTTTGGAACAATCTAATGTTACATTGCCTGATTTTATCACTGAGGTGTTGAAGACCCATTTGTTAGAGCTAAACCCATCAGAACCACTGGTGATTTAATTGAGCCGTGTCAAAAACCTGGTTGGTTCATGCTTATTATTGCTATTATTCTTGTTTGGTGGGTTTTCCAATATTTTCCAAGAGGTTGTTGCAACTTAAAGCCTTGTTGCAAATTGCCAGGTTGATATGGTCTGCCTCAACCAGGCCCAGGCCCATCATTTTGGGCTACGGTCAGCTTCCAAAGGACGTTTTTCAACAGCAATTTACAAGGAAATGAATCATTTCACAGAAGCCCCTAAAGATTGGAAGGCGGATGATGATCCAGATTGACAAACAAATCTAATCATAAATCTTGGGAATGGGATGACAGCCATCAAGAAACCTTACGGGTTTGCCAGGTTGTTCTTGATTTCCAATCCCCAAATAGTAAACGCAGACTACACTGGCTTCACCTCATCCAACGCCGGCCATGGCTATGCAGCCGCGGCGAAGGTTTAACACCTTGTGCGTTGCTGTGGCGCTGGCGTGCGGCAGTTTCTCCTCAACTTGGTTGGTCCCTCCCCGCAGTTCCTGCGTCAGCAGGGCAGCTGTGGAGGGCACAGCCGGCACGGCGGCAGCTGTGGAGGGCGCTGACGAGAGCCTGCTCCCCGAGCTACTGGACCTAGCGGCTGATGGTGGGTCTGCTTTGGAAGAACGACTTGAAGAAGTATTTGCCCAAGTTTCTCCAGATGATTTGGCATCTCTGCGAATGAAGGTTGCTGATCCACAGGCTGCGGACCATTTGGCAGCTCAACGCTTGGGTGATGCGATCCAAATGGCCATGACTCGGCGCTTGACGGATGCCAAGAATGTCTTGGAAGAGTTGATTCAAGAGGCTGATGGCGACGTGAATCTCAAGATCCGCAAGATGTTGAAATCTGTTGAGAGCCCACTGCCGATCCTCATGGTCTTGCAGCTCAACATCGGTGAGGCGCAAGCTTCGGCGGATGGAGAACGACTGCAGGTGCTGATGCATATCAGCACCGTGATGCAGGAGGAGCTTGAAAAGAAATCTTCCCGAGTGAGGGGAATGTTAAACAAACTCTTGAGGATTGAAGATGAGAACATCAGGAACAACATTCTACGAGATCAGCTCACACCAGTGGAGGTTGCAGGTGCCCCTGGTGGCACTCCATTGATGGCCGCTATGGTTCCACCAGATCGCTTGGCTCCAGCCATTGCCAGCCTCGTGCAAGAAGTGGATCGGCAAATGGTGGCAGTGCTGGGTCCAGATGATGAAGGTCGCTATGAAACCATGGATCGGATTCGCCAGGTGGCCAAACAGGCGCGTCTCATCATTGGAGAAGTTTACGGCCAGGGACTCATGGATACCTTCAGCGCAGATTTGACGCCCGCCTTTCACACCTTGATGTCGTACAAGGCGCGGAACCGCCCTGACGCTGGTGCTACCGCAACGGAGGAAGTTTCAGAGGCGAAGAATGCGGGGGACGACTAACCACCGGAGCGTAGTGCGGCGCCAAAAAAGGGGCCGCCTTTGGGACATTTACAGAATGAGAAATAGTTTACCCTCTGGTTATTTACCATAGCCATGGAAAATGGCCCATTTATAGATGGTTTACCTATTAGAAATTGTGATTTTCCATTGCTATATTAAATAACCAGATGGTATATATTGCTATTATTATTATTATCTATTAAACATTATTAAACTATACTAGTTTGCACATCATAGAAGCATATTATATCATATAATATATATATACATGATTATATGTATGCATATTTGCCAAGTTTTTTTTTGACCACGACTATGGGGATGTCTCAAGATGTCTCAAAATGTCTCAAAAGACCCTGGCTGCCCACGACTCTACGGTCCCCAGGAAGAGGCTGCAGGCGTTGCAGCTGGGCGGCCCAGCTGCCCTGGTGGGTGCGCTTGCGGCCACCTTGGCAGCAGCCGTCAACGGGCAGCTGATGGAGGTGGCCGGAGGCCCTAGGACTGGGGCGAAACCATCCGTCTTTTTTAGTGGGAAAGTTGCAGCCAACAATTAGTTTCCAGCATTTGTTACTTGGAAGAAATCCATTTAAAGCGTGTTGTTTTTTGTTATTTCTTGGCTGGTTTTCCCAGCAAAAGCGGTATAGAATATCCAAACAAATGTTCCTGCAGATGTGCCCCTTCCAAAACAACCCAGAAAACAACCCTCCAGCTCCTGCATTTTTGTTAAATCCAGTTTTTTCGTTAGGTAAATCGGTAAATCCTATGATTGTTGGCTCACTCCTTAGTTTTTCTTCATGAAGTGCCAATTGTTGGTTGAATCAGTGGATCTATCCAGAAACCATACCTTGTTTCATGCCAAACAATCCCCAAGCTTCTTGGAAGACCACCAAAGTTGGAGAAGCCACCAGCTGGAAACCCAGCAGTTTGGTCCTCAGGTTCCAACCCTTCAGGGCTGTGGAGCCTTTGGTCTCCTCTCCTTCATCATCGCTCAAGTCGCAAAGCGGCTGAAGTAGCGATGTTTGGCCCATGGGGCCTGGACAGATCCGAGGGAATCCAAGTCTGCCAGAGGAAGTTGATGGAAGTTGGGCCATTTTGGGCCGTAATTTTTCGTGACACCCAAGAGGTTTTGGTGTGGTTTTTGAAGCACTCAAAAGCTTGTGAACAAAGATAATCTCGGTCAAACGGTGAAACCATGATTCTTTTGTGATATCCGATGCCACATGTCTCTTTTGGATTCTTTTGCTACATTGACTCATTTAGAGGTTTCCTAAAATGGGGACCCCGAATCATCTAAAACTTGACTATTTAAATATTGAACCAACGAAGGTGACTTGAGGATCCCCCATGACTTAAGAACCCCCATAGCTTGGACACCCTGGCAGCCACGGACTCCCAGATTTTCAGGCTGCAGGGAGTGAACCCCAGTAGCCGTCAACAATTTTCAAATACCTTATGATTTGGTGCCCTGAATGAACGTCCTCCATAGGTTTTTCCAATGAATGGCTAGGTCTTAGGCCTATAGACTTTTTAGAATCAAGAAAGATGGGATGACATACTGGCCCCCCAACACGACATCAAATTTTGTTGAAGATGACTACAATGAATCAACCCCATGACGGATGCGCACGCTAGGTGCCTCACTCAACTAATGATGCCAGCAAAACTGCTTGGAGCGGAAGAGCTGGGTCGATGACCCCTAGATGCGGTGCTACATCCGGAAAAAGTGGAGTAAGGCGGCCAAAAAGGGCTTGCCTTCGTCGAAAATCACTTTGCAACACACGTTTCTTGGGGTTTTATCCTAGTTTTCCGGGCTGAAGAGTTGATTCAGACGATTTCCACATGTTGCCATGTTGAATTGGAAAAACACAATAAAAAATAAAAAGACTTAGGTTTTCAATGGCTTTCATGTAGATGTTCCAACAACAGCCGGGCTCAAGGGGCCCCGGCGCTTGCGATCATGGATGGGACAGGCTGGTGCTTTTTCCTCCCATTTATTCACTGATATGCCAGGATCTTATAACCCATAGGAATCCATAGGATCCATGTATGCTATATATGGTAACATTTACCATCAATATACCCCCAATGTTAGCATATATACCATACATGGATCCTATGGGTAATGCAGTACACTAAATCCTACCCGCAATTACCCTCCAAATTATCATCGGAAATCCACGGTTTTTGAGATCGTTTTCCGAAGGGAACTCCGGTCATGGAACCCTAGTTTTCCCACATCTTTTGGTATGTTTACTGGAGGCACACTAAAAAATAAAATATCATTTTGGACGAGCCCATTTCCGCCATGGTTTCCCAAGGGATTTTCATTGGTGCAATCCACAGTTCTTTTGCTTAAATTGCAATGTTTGAACATGTTCGCTGCCATCCTGACGTTGCGCCGCGTCTGACTTCAGGTGGCTATGAAGATAAAGTTGATGTTATTACCCCAATCAACATATTGTTCGTAGGGGGGTGGCCAATTTTGATCCCTCATGGAGATACAGTTGATATTATTGCCCCACTCAACATGTTCATAGGGGGTGGCGAATTTTGATCCCTTATGAAAATGACGTTGATGTTTTTACCCCAATCAACAAATTGTTCATACGGGATGGCGAATTTTGATCCCTCATGAAGATAAAGTTGATGTTATTACCCCAATCAACATATTGTTCATAGGGGGTGACAAATGTTGATCCCTCATGGAGATATAGTTGATGCTATTTCCCCACTCAACATCTTTTTTCAGAGGGGGTGGTGAAAATGTTGACCCTCATGAAGATAAAGTTGATGTTATTACCCCAGTCAACATATTGATAAGAGGGGGTGGCGAATTTTAATGTGATGATGATCATGATGTGATGACGTGATGATGTGATGATGTGATGATGATGATCATGATCATGATCATGATCATGATCATGATCATGACGATTGTAAGTGTGGAGCAACGTCCGGCTTGGGGCGAACATGCTTTCATGATTTCTTGCCGCTTAAATCACATTAAATTGCGTTTTTACCAACACTTTGTTTTAAACCGAGCACATCCTCAGCAGACATATCCGTTTTCTCCAGTTGCAGTAACCCCATATTCTTGATGGGTTGAAGTTGTTAATTCCGTTCATTAGTATACTAGATTTATGAAAATAGTTTAGTTTACCTAGATACCACTCCTATATCTCAATTATATTCTATTATGTATCCCCATTATATCCCTATGTTCTCTAGTTAGCCCCATATTATTCATGGTTAAAGGATATTTATAACATATAGATACATAGATTATCCCTAAGATCTATATTATATTCGGTTATCCCAGTCATGGTGAAATGGTTGCTAGATTTACCAAGAATTATCATATCCCCATTATATCCCCATGGTTAGGATATTCTTAGTTATTCTTTGTTATCCCCATTACATCCCCATGGTTATGATAATTACTACATTACTAATGATCTTAGTTATCCCCATGGTTAAATCCCTATGTTTTACCAAGATCTTCCCCGCAGGCGGCTGCGCCCTGGGTTTCTACAAACTCCTGGAACAGTGGCTGCCTAAGAGGCCACTGCCAGGCCCTGAGGAGTCCCTTGGATGCCGGGAACCGGAGAAAATGCTGGGTTTCACCATGAAGAATGGTCTTCATGGTGAAACCTGGTGGTTTAACATGGTTTAACCATGAAAACAATGGGAAATCCTGGTTTAACATGGTTTAACCATGAAAAAAAAACGTGGAATCATGGGATTTCCCATCAAGACTGGTCAAAACATGAAACATGTTGGTTCGATGGTGATTTGGCCATGAAACATAGGGATTTTTGCCAATTAATAGTGGATATGGGTGTGTCTGAAAAACAGAATGGATTTGAAATTGGCAATTTCAAATTGCTTATGTATAGTAACATAAATTTGTACTTTACCTTTGCGGTGGCTTGGTGATATGACGCGCCTGGCCAACGAGCTTGCGTGCTGACCTGCCACGTCACCTTTTTAGCTCGCCTTCAGCTTGACTGCTGATCTCCTGAGATGGCGATGGAGAGAGAAATTGCCTTGTTATAAGGAAAATGATGATCAAGCAGCGGACAAAGACCCAAACATGGATTTGTTGAAGGTGATTTGCAGTTTTACTATAACTATAGGTTCATCCATCATTTGAAGAATCTAGCTCTTTTGGTTGATGTCAAATCTATGGCCTCGCAAACCAATGACAATTGCTGGTTGGTGGTTTGGAACATGAATTTTATTTTCCAGTATCTTGGGAATGTCATCATCCCAAATGACTTTCACTCCATCATTTTTCAGAGGGGTGGCTCAACCACCAACCAGATGTGATTTTTATCAACGAAAATATGGGGCCCAGGGAGGATATGGAGAGGCAACCAGCAATGTTCAGATGTGTCGCTACTGGTGGCTGGGTACCAAATATGTCAGTTTCGCAGTTTCGCCCAGAAAAATCCTAGTGATGATGTATTCTCATATTGTTTGGCTCTGCACATTGATCACGCAATTTTGAAATATCACATGTTTTTATCATCAAGTGATATTTTTCTAGCCCTGGATCCCAAGTGTGTGATATTCCTCCATGAGTTTAAGTTACCGATGGAACCCCAACACAAAAAGAGCAACACGGACTGGGAGTTTCCTTTCCGATAACTAGATGGATTAGATCGCCACACGCCATCATATGCTTGTGGTGTTTTTGGGGTAGTATGTCCAACTTTGGAAGAAAAATGCCTGATTGTTTGCCATTTATTTGCCAATATTTTGTTCGTGCATGTGCCAGAAAATGACAGATGCCAGTAAAGTCCTTCTTGTTGATTTGTTTGACCCCTTGGATTTTGTGCATTCTGAAAACGCATAGCTTTCGTGGATGCACGCATAATCATACATCCATTATCAACATGTTGTAGATGCACTCATGTGACTAATGTTCGCCCATTTTGAACTATCAAAATGGGCCTTCAACATGAAGCTCAACCACCTTGGGATGGGTCTTTCTCCAACATCGGCCCCAAGGGTCAACGAGTTTGGCTTCAAATGTGGTTGTTGTCAACATCCATGTTTGTTAGCTTTTGTTGGGACTTGGATCATCCCACTTTATATAGGAAGTGGTTAATAACCCTGGTTAGTAAGTCTCCGTTTCGAGGATTATCATATTTATACATAGATTTTTGATAGCCCAACTATGCCCAATTGACCAGTTCAAACTCATCGTGGGACTCGCTGAGGATTCCACATGTTTGCAAGATCACATCGTTGTTTGAGCCTGAGCTCTACATGGCTCAGGCGCAGGAAAAACTTGAAACATGTCGTTTGGGCATTTGGGCCAGCAGCGATTTAACGTTCAACCAATCTTCGGGAATCAAATACAATCGAAGACAGTCATGCAGATTAAGGAACGCTCTCGGGGTTACAACTGGCTGGTGGTTTCAAAGCATGATTGTTCGCACTTCCTTGAATAGGATGATGACTCGATCTTGTTTTAGCATGCATCTTGATTTTCATGAAATGGCATGTCTATCCACCATCAGGGTTGCTCCAACCCATCATAGAATTATTTATAACCCCACAGGATGAAATGTCTAATTTGACCTCTGTCTCAAACGGGCAGATTTCCCTGAGCTTCCAGGCGGTGAAAGCACACAAACTGAAAGAGTTGCACAAGACGACTGAAGTTTGTGAGCAGGCGGCTGGATAGGACTGGTTTGGAGGATGATTTCATGATGATTTCATGAGGATCAACGATAGGATTGAGCTCAATTAGCTTGAAATTGCGATGTATTGACAGTGGATGATCAGAACTAGCCAACTCAAGTGATGAATTCACTCTGAACATGGCTGGTCCAAGCAACATCTCTGAGGTATTGCCAACCAGCAGTAGGCAGCACAATCCGGAACCTCGGCAGCGATTGGGACGGGATCGTTCGATCGTTGTGGCCTGGCCGGGAGGGACCATCGAACTGGTGAGGTGAGAACTTGTTCAGTGAGAACATAGGAAAATGGAGGTTTTTTCATGGGAAAACCATAGGAAAACCCATAGGAAAATGGATGTTAACCCTCTGGTAATTTGTTACATAGCTATTGAAAATGGCCATAGAAATAGTGAGTTTTCCCACTAAAGATGGTGGATCTTTCCATAGTTATGTTAGTTTACCAGTGAGTAGTCGTATTGGATAGTATTAGTAGTACTCGTACCCATCATTAAAAACCACATCCCGACTGGTTTCTGGTGAATATTGGCAAAGTATGCCGCCCATGGTAGGAACCACATTGTGACCATGCATCTCCTCTCAAGATTGTTTGGACATGTTGACCCCAAGGATCTCAAATTGGCGCCCTTACCAGCCCCATCAGCCAAACCTTAACCCTCAACCCCCTCACTCCTAACTCCGGAATTCATCATCATCATCATCATCATCATCATCACAGCGTGGCGCCCCCAGTCATAAATTAGTTGCTACGCCCTTTTCAACCCCAATTCACTATGGTATGACACACCAGAAGCTTATGAAATCTTGTCGGGGCCAACTGGAAATCAGCAAAGAGCTAATTTCTCTCTACGTGTATTTTTGCATATCATATATCTATCTATCATCAATTCTTATCTACAATATACAATCATCCGGCACTTGACATTGACATCGACGATGATCTCCACGAATCAAAGCATATCAACATTGATGATAGATAGATACTCGTATCATTTATAACTATCTGATATTTTATGGGTCATTTATCATCAATTTTCATCTATCATCGACATCATCCGGCGGATTTAATATCTAATACATCTATCATTCATCTTTATCCATAATATTTGATCTCCACCATCGACAGACCATTGACATCCCTATCTATCATCGATCTCATCCATCATTAATAGATATCAAATATTAGAAAATGAGCCAAATTTTATCATCATTGATCATCAATATTCACCTATCATCATCCACCAACCACCATATCAACATTGATGATAGATAGATATCATGAATAGCTATATATGATATTTTATCATTCATAAAAATCATCAATCTTCATCATCGACAGACGATTCCGACTAGATCCTCGACCCAGGCGGAGTTTCAGAGTGGCGATTTGGTGGTTCTGGGCTCGACGAGTTTTCATGGCGGCTCCGCCGCCGTGCTCTGCGAGATGACCTCCCTTGACTGCAAGGTGTGACTTAAAAACGGGGCGGGGCAAGCCATGGGGACACGTTGGATGTGTTAAACGTTAACGGAGTTAATGGGGTAAAACGGGGAGGTGATCTATAAAGATACATATAAAAATATATAAGATCATATATACTATAAAGTCATTGGGATGGGTAAAGTGTAATTCGCTTCAACTCAGTGATTTTGGTGTTTTTTTTGCTGTTGTTAACTGGTTTCTGCTAATGACAAAATATGACGAATTTGGAAAGGTAAGCGACATGTAATTACCCTAGAAATCATGGATTCAACAGATGGGATTTCATAGGTGAATTATCATGCATGATTTGTCTTGTGAGCTGGTGATTTTCCATTTTCGGGATTGATGACCAAGGGTTAAGAGATGGGAGTGGGAATCATTACAACCTGCAAAATACACCAAAGCCCAAGATTCATCAAGAAACAGCTCAACAAGCTTCTGTTGGTGTGTTTTCTTGTTAAAATGTTCAATAAACAACTCGTTTATCGGAGTTGTTTTCCAGAACGGAAACAGAGACCCAACCACCCCTCCAGTGGCCCCTCCAGCTGACGGCTGTGACATCCATGATCAAACTACTTGGAACAGGTGCCTTTACCTGGGCTACGGTGGTCCATGACTTGAGGTATCTCAAGATCAACTTGTCCAATCTATACCATCCTGGACATACAATCTCAAGATACGCATGCTGATAAAGTTTATCCCCATATGAAGCATATTTTCATATATTTTCCATAACTGTTCCATGGCTTTTCCTCACGATTTTCCCGTGACTTTCCGATGTTTTTGGCCATCCCCTGAGCCCTTGCCATCCAGGTGGCCATTTTGGACACCTCGCGCAGCTTCAAAGTGGCTGAGGACCACGTGAAGTCCAGCGACCTGCGACTGATCCACCAGGACTGGCGTATCGGATCCAGGCATATCATCGGAGGCAGGGCTGATCGAGTCTCTTACCCTCTGGTTATGTCAAAATAGCTATTGAAAATGGGATTTTAATGGGATTTTTATGGGATTTACCCTCTGGTAATTTAACACAGCTATTGAAAATGACCATAGAAATAGTGGATTTTCCCATTGAAAATGGTGATTTTCCATAGTTATGTGAAAGTTTACCAGAGGGTATAGGAAAAAAAACTAGGGTTGATGGTATTTGTGACACTAGTTCGGTTGAGAAAGCAATGTAAAACTCAAGTGGTGAATGAGGGTAGTCAATTTCTAGATGGGATAACCTACGATTCGTGGGATCCTCGAAGTACACTATAGTTTCACCCAAAAAAAGTTCAACTGAACTAGTTGATTTTTTGTTGGGTTTACCACATGATACGAAACAAACCAAAGAGAAGTGGTCTCAGATTGGTGTGTTAAAAATGTTTAACATATCCCTAGCTGAAACTGCGATGCTTCAGAGAAATGGTTGATTCATGGCCGATGAAGCCACCAAGCCCATCATTTGTTTACGGTTTGGAGTAAGGGCAGTGTTCAATTGATAGGGGATTGACACCATCCATTCGGAGAGTCGGAGACCCCTATGAACCAACCAAGATTCGAACCCTTCGACCCACGCCTAGGCCTACAGAGCAGTCGCATGAAGCACTTGAATGGCTTGGTGGCATGTGTCAGAGAACACCGACGCTATGGTCACCCCTGCTTTGTGCCCAAACCAGACTCGAATGAGCTGAAACTCCGACTCTGTGTGCGTTGGGAGAACTCACAGGAGAACTCCAATGGCGCCCTGTTGTTGGAGCCACGGTTCCTCTCACCATGTCTCACCGTGCCACCATTGCCACAAGCACCGCCAGCGCCACTAGCACCGCCGCCGCCGGAGAGCCAGTTGAACAAGGAGGCGTCAAACGATGAGCCGCTGCCAGACACGACGCTATTGACGGTCAAGCGGCGCCTTCCGTTGAACTGGAACATCTCCTGTGAAGGATCGGGAGCTTTGCGGGCAATTGATGAAGTTGAACCAACCATTTGTCACCTCCCCAATGCGTCTCGGCACCGATCGGCCATCCGGGGGAGCTTAAAATGCTTAAATCACCCACTGACGCCATATCCACTATTCATTGGTTAAAATCCATGTCAAATGCCTATTTTGAATGGTTAATTAAATCATGAAAATCCATGTCAAAAGCCCATATTTCATGGTTAGATCAATCTAGATCCATATTCAGCCAACGGCTGGATACATAGCATTGGTATCCAGTATCTCCCCATCCGATCACCACAGGTGGAAAGCCTGACTCCTGCGCCCACGAATTGCTCCGCCAACTTCTTGGGAGTTCTCTCCTGGATGGTGGGCGCGTGTGGTTCTCAGCAAAAAATGGGCGATCCCATGCCCCCAACATGCGGATTTACGAAACACATGATGAACAATGGTGATATAGAATATAGCAAATGTTGATTTAATACTTGTTGAGGCATCAAATCTGGTAACTTGACCAACAAAAATGGGTGCTATAATTGGTATATACAAGGGACTTGTTGATGGCAAATCTGAGAAACATTGACCACGACCTCACGTCGCGATGTCACTGGAAATGCAGCTTAGGATTGGGGAATCATCCCTTAAAATGGCTGTTACTGGAGGTTGGTGAATCATTATCACGTGTCCAAATTTAATATTTAAGTGCAGATTTACCATGGAGATTTGTTGGAAACATGTGACATTTTGTGGGATGCATCACGGATTTAACCAAGAAAAACATGGTACAATCCCTTGCCCCGCACAATCAAACGATGAAATACCATCCAGAATTCATGGAACAATTGTGATATAGTGGGCCTGGGGGATGTGGAGGGTTCATGAAGTTTTTTCTCCATAAAGAAAGGATAACCCCATCTCCCTAATATTAAATGTTCCCCAATGAATAATAGATTAGTTTTTTTTTTCCAACACACCATGATTTCAATGGGTACTGAAGTCTAGGACGGGATCAAACACTCTAAGAAGAACACATCCTATCTGAAGGGCCGTAGGTCCTACAAGGACTTGTCCATTGCCACTGAAAAATCTTCAACCCCCATTTGGGATGACTCTAAAAAGCCAACAGGTCATTGAACATGACTAGCTATGACTAGCTATTGGATGATAACATCCCTATGGTCAACATGGCTGGTGGCTCATCCTATCGCCAGTAGGTTTTCCGTTCACCCTTGTCAAGTGGATTAACCCTACTAACTTATAACCAGGGATATACCCTCTGGTAAACTAACAGTTTGCTATTGAAAATTGCCATTTATAATGGATTTAGCCATTAAAAATTGTGATTTTTCATAGTTAAACGTGAAAGTTTACCAGGCCGGGATCCAGCTCTTCTGAAATTCGATTCGTGGGTGGGATGAGCCACCGAGCCACCTGTCGTATGGATCATGTGTTTGTTGGAAAATTCATGGATACCATAGCTATGTTAGTCATTACCAGAGGGTAAATCCCATAAAAATCCCATAAAAATCCCATAAAAATCCCATGTTCAATAGCTATTTTGACATAACCAGAGGGTAATTCATGGATACCAGCCATCATCAACATCCTGGAAACCCACGAGTTGCCGAGGCACACGAGGCGAGTGGAGGAGGAGTTTCCCACTGTGATTCGCCTTTCCTCGGTCTTGGCGGAGGATCCACAGCCCAGAGAGCAGCCGCATGGTGCGGTGGTTTTTTTTTGGCCCTGGCCCTGGTGGGGACGTGTCAGGGATTTGACCGATATACCTTAATGAAAATGGTGAGGTCATATGAACATGGCGAGAAAATCCGTTCATTCACATAGCATTTATGTCATAGTGGAGTTTCCCTTATAAACGGAGGTTTGTAGCAGGAAAATTCTCCAAATTTGGTATTTTCCAGCCACGAAAATGGCGAGGTCAACTGGGGGTGCGATAATTTAGCCTCTGGTTCTCAAACCTGGCTGTTTAGAAAATCCCACATGTATAGATGATTTTCCCAGCTAGAAACTTCCGTTTATAAGGGAACATCCACTATAATAAATGGTGTTTGAATGGGAAAATCATCGAACAAATTTTGGGATTTTCCCGCCAGCCATGTTTGATTACCAGAGGGTATGTCATGGACTTTTGCTTATGAAAATGTGGGATGTTTACATCTAAAAATATGGATTCAGCCATAAAAGTTGGATTTGATCCACGAAATTTAGGGATTTTAGCAATGAATGTGGGATTTTACCGTGAAATATGGGTTTTGACATGTTTTAACCATCAAACATAGATGGAGATATAATATGATATAATTACAGTATATAATTGATAAACGATGGTCGGTTAATGGTTGTTGCAATTTTCTGAGGTTATTTCATGGGATGCAGGTTATAATCAAAAATACGAAGGACCAATCTGGAATAGCTGAACTATTGGACATTTCCCCATCAGTTAATCCATGAGTTCTTTGGGGAATCCAGGATGAGACATCCCCTGCAGATGATGGCCCAATTTCGACCAAGCTTGCATGGTCATTATATATATATATACATATGCCGGATGATTTGGGGGAGCTCATTACAATTTGGAGTTGGTTTCTGGCTGGCTTATAGGAAGTCAGCCCATGTTTTTTCTCTTTCTTATGGTGTTTCAGGCGGGAGATATGGGAATCTGCTCCATGCCAAGTGGGTTTTGAAATCCGGCAAGCCGAGGTGCCAACTGGAGACTGATGTCGGTCTAACTTACCTGAACTCAGGGAGCCATGATAATGCAAAACCATATTCCGAAGATTAAAGTGAACTCCTAAATTAGTGAATCATTGTATGATTTGCTCTCTGATATGTAATCCTGTGTGGGGTAGCCTGACAACATCTGACAACTAAAGTTGGCCAAAACTGGAGGAGAAAAATAACCCAGCAAGCTGTCGAAGATGAGCTGAAATTGTCTCAATCAGTGCAGTGTGGTGTTTTGTTTTCCGCCCGAGGCTTTCATGGCTGCTTCCTATCTCTGAAAGTCATGAACTTGGGGATGATGCAGATTTGGTTTCAGCATCCCAGCTGCAGACTTGTTTTTGCTGGAAACTGTTTCGTTTCAAGTTGGTCAAAATGAAAACGACCATGAAAACTGGTTGGTGGTTTCAAACATGTTTGATTGTCCATTTCATATATGGATATATGGGATGTCATCCTTCCCATTGACGAACTCATATTTGTCAAGATGGGTATTGCACCACCAACCAGAAAACTACCCTCTGGTTATTTAACATAGCCATGGGAAATGCCCCATTTATAGATGGTTTACCTCTTAAAAATTGTGATTTTCCATGGCTATGTTAAATAACCAGATAGTACCATGCATGCAATTGGTGAATCACATGTGAAGGGGCTGTTCCGGCCCAGGAACCCACGGATCGACTGCACATCACTGAGCGCCTAGAGAAAGGCCAGGGATGCCAATCGTTTTTTTTTTTGGGGGGGGGGAACAAATATGGGAGAATTATCGCATAAATAAATGGAAATGCATGGAAATGCGATGTTCTTAATTTTGGGGATGCCGTTTGATGATCTGATTTCATATAGTCACGAAAACCAACCCATTTAGTTTGATGATTTATGGTGATTTACCTATTGAAAATGGGTGATTTTCCATGGCTAGGTCAAATAACCAGATGGTAATTGTATGACAAATATGGGATAATCATTGGATGCCTACGCAAAAATGAGGAAGAATGGGAGAACCATACGGGCCATACAATTACCTAAATTAATTAATGGGATGATATGAGCACTTGCGATAGTTATGGAATATTACGGGGCGATATGGGAAAATATGGAATAATTACCCAATATATTTGTTTATGATGTGATTAATGTATAGCGCCTTTACTTGTGTGTTTTTTCAGGTGGATTTTAGCTTGATATTAAACACATATATGAAAACGTGTTTATTGTTTAGTCGTGTTTTTGTTAAATGTGTTTGGGCCTTTCCCACCTGTTTCTTTGGTATATTCCATGATATGTCCATTTGGGCAATTTATGTTGGTTTGTTCTTGATGTCTTCTTGGTTCAAACATGTCAAACCAAATCTTTGAGTCATCTTGAGTCAAGCTGCAAGGCGTGCGTATGTTTTTTTTCTCCTGTACATACACTTGTCACGTGTATCCATCATACATCATGCATCATCATACATGATTTTTCCATTTATTTATACATAGAATATATGGTATCATGTGCAGGTATATGGAGACACACATCCAGATACGCACGCATATTTACATATATATATATATATTATATATATATACAATGTGAGGCCCGCCAGTTATAAGTTGGTTTATAAGCCCCGGTAACTATAGTTATAAGTACCATAAACCATAGTTATTGGAGTTATAAACCAACTTAGCTATCTTGGGGGCCTCACATTGTATATATAATCATCCTATCCTGGTGTGCTTATACCATTTATTTAATATTGATGCACAGATGCCGAGGCGACCTCGTGATCCTGCAACGCGGCCTTCAGCCCTTCGCGCTGTGCCCTGGAGTGGTGAAAGGCGCGGCTTAAAAAGGCATCCGATGTTGGAAGAGTGTCATTCAAAACAAGTAACGTGGGAAACCCAAGACTAAACCATGGTTAATTAATGCTAATTAGCTATAATTAGCTAATATTACCATATGTAAATGGATGGTAACATGTGGTAACATCTGGTAACTATATCATCCCCATGTGATTTCTCGCATTACTGTTCGTAAAGGAATGTCATAGGTTGAGAAACCAGCCCCCCCCGAAAAAAACATGAACAAATTTGGGGATGGTGGATCCTATTGCTCTAACTAACATTATACAATATTACCATGTTGGTTGGTTAAAACCTCCACCTTTTTTCTAAAGCTCGAACTGTTTCTTTTTTCCCCAAGTTCTTGCGGACAACTCCTGGGAGGCGTTGAGGGAAGCTCTTGTACCGTGGCCGTCCTGGATGATTCCAGGAGCGTTTTCATCGGCGAGTTTGGGCCTCAGATCTAATCTTGGAGTCATGGAGTGGGATGAAAATTTTTGCATAGGATGAAGATAAGTATCACGAAGAAGTCACATATAGTATTCCTCCACTTTCTATGTTTGGATTGTAAAGGCTGAAATGGCCAGTATAGTTTGTAGATCCTTCATGATTCCAATGTGGTTAAAGCAAAAGGATCCACCGTCTCCAAGCTTATTATGTTTATGGCTGGTATATATCATCATGAAAATATGAGTGGTTTATGGCATTGCTTTACTAGTGGAAAAATGGTGGTTTGACCGTTTGACCATCAAACGTGTCGGTTTGACATGGTTTGACTATCAGACATGCATGGAGTTTCACAAGTAATTCACGGAAACAGGTTTGTCTGAAAACGGAGTATATGATGGGGAACATGATGGTCGAATTGGAATCTGGGATGGAGAAACCGTGAAAACCACTTGTGATGGAGAGGCCATTTGTGATGGGAAACTCGCCACTCTTGTAGACAATCGAGGACAGACAGGGATGATCTCACATTTTTGCTGAAACGTATGTGTGTTTTGTTAGGAATTCCAAGCGGTCGTCTCAGGTTAATGTCTACCTCTGATTTATAAACCTGGGGGCCCCCCCCCCTCTTTTACCTCAAATAAAGTTAAAAACTTGTTTGTATGTATTGGTTTTCAATTGCCACAATTTAAAACGAATACATAAAATGCAATTTCCAAAAAAAACAGGAATCCAACAATTGTTTTAGTATTGGTTTAGTATTCATCTCATGGATGTAGTATTGATTTAGTATTCATGCCATGGATTTAGTATTGATTTAGTATTCATGTCATGGATTTAGTATTGATCTAGTACTCACCTCATGGATTTAGTATTGATTTAGTATTCATGTCATGGATTTAGTATTGATTTAGTATTGATTTAGTATTCATGTCATGGATTCAGTATTGATCTAGTATTCATATCATGAATTTTGTATTGATTTAGTATTCATGTCATGGATTTAGTATTGATCTAGTACTCATGTCATGGATTTAGCATTGATTTAGTATTCATGTCATGGATTTAGTATTGATCTCGTATTCATGTCATGGATTTAGTAGTGATTTAGTATTCATGTCATGGATCTGCGCAAATCTGGGTTTAGGGCCAAAAACAATTAGCTTTATTCAGGGTCAAACTCTAATTAGTGCCAAGGCACCTCATGGGGGGTACCCTTGACGAGTTGATTTGGGATTGATTTTGGATAATTTTGAATAAAGGTTTTGAATAGAAAAGAGCAACCATTATTTTTTGAAAATTTGAAGTTATCAAGGTAAGATCTAATGAGCTGGCAATATGAATTAGTACATGAAAGCCACCTCAAATAAAGCATGGAAAAAACAAAATCAGCCCCATCTGGGCAAATCTGGGTTTAGGGACAAAAACAATTAGCTTTATTCAGGGTCAAACTCTAATTAGTGCCAAGGCACCTCATGGGGGGTACCCTTGACGAGTTGATTTGGGATTGATTTTGGATAATTTTGAATAAAGGTTTTGAATAGAAAAGAGCAACCATTATTTTTGAAAATTTGAAGTTATCAAGGTAAGATCTAATGAGCTGGCAATATGAATTAGTACATGAAAGCCACCTCAAATAAAGCATGGAAAAAAAAAATCAGCCCCATCTGGGCAAATCTGGGTTTATGGACAATTTTTTTCACCTCCATCTTGGCAAATCTGGGGTTGGGGCCCAAAAAATTTAGCTTTATTTAGGGGTAGTTTATAATTTATTTTGGGAAAAATTTAGCTTTATTCAGGGGTAGTTTACAAATCGTAGGTCAACATTACTGATGGGAAATGGCCGCAATTTTCAAGCACCAGAGGGTACTGAATGATGGCTGGTTTACGTGTGAAACCATCTCAATAATTCTTGGGAACGCTGCAGAATCCACAGAAACAAGGACAACTAAATTGGAACATGTTAAGTGAGGAAGAAGGGATTGGATTCCTTTCCTGGACTGTTCTTTCTATTGATTAAATCTCTGCATACCCCCTTGTTGTCGACATTGTTCCATTTTTTGTCCTGCAACCTCTTGGACAGCGCGATTGAAGGTGGACCGGCTACCGGCCATGGAGCATACCATCTATCTTCATGCGCATGAATTTACCTATAGTTTTCCTTGTCCGATTTCCTAGATAGCAATATTTGGTTGCCAGAGGGTTAAAGGCTGATATCATCCTTTCTGTTGGCTTTTTTCCCCTGGTTAAACCCCCATGCTTGGCTGCTTAACATGTTTTTTTTGTTGCTTAAATCTCCCAAGTTGCTAGTTCAACCCTGGATCAGCGTCCTGGAGCACCATGATTTTTATGATGAAACCAGCAGTAGTGCATCGTTCGACCATGTGAACCAACCCATTTTTTGGGGGGTTGTTAACCCCTCATTTTTGCTGGTGAAGTGAAACCACCCAGGTGCCGCGTGGCTTTCTCGGACGTGGCGTTAGTTCATTCCGAGTGGCGCCTGGGGACCAGGGTGGTCCTGGGAGGCTTGCAGAGTAGTCTCTCGGAGATTTGTGGGGCCCGGGGCTGTGATGATGAGAGAGTTAATCACCAGCAAATGGTTTAGTTTTTTCTTGAAAGGATTTTGGGGGAAAATAGCAATCTCAAGTTTGGGGTACCCAGAATTAGCTAATGAATTCAAGATGTTGCTTCTGCCAAATTGATGAGTGATGATCACAGTTGACGGATAGAAAAAGTGGAGATGGAAGGATTGACCCACTTGAATCATTCCAGTTAGGATCCATGCTACCTGAGACTTCTATTTTGCGAGATACATTGGAATACCATCCAAAATATGTCCAAGTCTTCCATTCTTTGGCTATACACCATACCAAATGGAATTGTTTGTTCTTGTGGCTCTGTTCCGCAAAGATAGAGAAGAGAATGCATTACCCATAGGATCCATGTATGCTATATTTGGTAGCATTTACCATCAATATACCCCCAATGTTAGTATATATACCATACATGGATCCTATGGGTTATGGAACGGATTATGTCCCAAATTCTCCTGCCTTGGCTTCAAGATGTCCTGTTTCATTGGGACTTCATCTGGATGAATTACAATAACCCAGGATGTCACGTCACTGCAATGATGCTTAGGAAGGAGAATTGTTCATCCCCAAATGGCCTTATTTCACAGCTATTGTCAGCTTCGTGAATTACTCTTCTTCCGCCAGACTGATATCATTGATATCATTGGTCAGTAGGCCCTTATGAAACATTATGAAACTTATTGTGGGTGCAGATCTTGGTGCAGATGTGGTCAAAACATGTCAAAACATAAACCCAAACAGCAACCTGGCGAGGCTTCAAAAATCTTCAAACGCCTGAGGTCATATGGTCCACCTGAACGGCTTGTCGGCTGTGATTTGCCCCCACAAGCGGCACGGACATCCTTGTGACTCGGCTTCTTAAAGGGATGGTGTGGGATGGTGTGGAATGCTTCTGATGGTGTAAAATTTAAATAGAAGTTGGTATCTACGTATATCATATACTGTATATCTACGTTTTTCTCGCATCATGCTGGCCGCCTAGGGTGAATGGTGAGTACCAAAGTAGCAAGTTGATTGTAGAGTTCTAGCATGTTGGAGTGCAAGAGTACCATGTTTTCTTTTGATTTTTTGAGAGGTGTACGTGTTTTCCGGTGATATCATGAAATTCATTGAAATTCCCAATTAATTAGGGGCCAAATTTGACACCCAATACGCAACTGGATTGTTACCTTCGACACCCCAAATCACTGTGCGATTCCCAAGGCTTTGTGCACAAGCCTAGCTCACCCAACACCGGCGAATGGCTGACCTTATGCATCCGTTTCTTGGTGGAAAAATGTGACCCTCTAAACCTACAAAAAACTATGGAAAGTCATGGAAAATCATGGAAAATCACATTTTTTAATGGGTAAGTCGACTATTTCTATGGCAATGTTCAATAGCAAGCTGTTAAATTACCAGAGGGTAGACCATGTGTTCATGTTTTGTTTTCGTCCTCTTCCGGTGGAAAACAATGAAAGGCCTCAACCGGCCACCAGACTTGGTTCTGATATCTTGGGTAATGCACCACAACATCTTTGATTCAGGTTACTCAGCAACCCAATCCGAATCTGACAGTATGCTTGGGCTCAGCAGGAGCTGATTTCATTCCCAAAGACTTGGTGTAATTTTGACTACCAGCCCACCCCCTTCCACCTGAGTAGTGTTCTTTTTTTTTTTCGTTGATGACTAGTTCGGGATTCCAATTATTCAATTCAAATTGGTGATCAGAATCATTCATGACATGTCAACCCTGCTCTTAAGCAACCGGGATTAAATTGCCATGTTCCATACTAATTTCATCATATCTTATCCCCATGAAACCAAGGTTAAATGTGTCCATTTTGTTGTTGCCAGGACCCAACCCCGAAACCCAACAACCCAGATTAACCCAATAACCCAGATTAACCCAGGACCCGTGAGTTCAGGGTTGAAAAACAGCCAGGCTTCGATGATCCCGACAAATCTTCCATGCATGCAGTTCTTTTGGAACCACGATTTCTCGCAGCTGTGGGTCCTGTGGGTCCCATCGATAGCCGCCAAGTGCTACCATCACCTCGAATGGAATGCTTCACCCCGCTGCTTGGACGAAGGGATCTGAACGGATATGATGGGACCGGGGGGGAGATTGTAATTTGCAACCCATGTTTGGTGAAATTGGGGATGAACATTGAAATTGGTGTTATAGTTGATAATGATTTATGTAAATTGAAACTAGTTTAACCATCTAAGACCATCAAAATTTATAAAGACCTTGTATCAAGTGGACCTCCATGTCACCCAAAAAGATTCAGACAAGGTCAAGAGTTCACCACTGTACGTACGGTGGTACATCTGCCCCAGACCCATTGTTCGAGTGATGTTCACCAACTCAGCCACAAAAAAGAACTGGTGCACCACGATTCATCATCCCATTAATCCCCATTCTGGTTGGTGGTTTGGAACATTTTTTATTTTTCCATGCTCATTGGGAATAATCATCCCAACTGACGAACTCATATTTTTCAGAGGGATTGAAACCACCAACCAGCATCAATTCTCAATCTTGAATGTCCACTCCAAATTAATTTGGTGGACGGGATGGTCCTATAGAAATCCTTTTTTCTACTGGTTGGTTAATCAGTAGATAATAGAAAGTTCTGTCAATTTAACAACCAATAGGTCAATAGGTGGATCATAAATTCACCAAACGGACCCTGGTCCGATGCTTCCGAAAAGATCTAAAAGGACAGTCCGCATTAAATCCCCATGAATTCTCATTAAGTCACTATTCCATATGAATTGGGTGAGGATGGTAAAGTGCAGGATCATCGAACCAATCGTAAGTAGTTGATAAGCATGGTTAGTTCATCCATTTATAGATGGTATAAACCACAAATTGAGGACTTGAACTCACCCCAGGGTTGTCACCCTCCGGTAATCAATCATATCAATTGGAAATCCCCTATTTCAGTGGAGGTTTCAGAATTTCGAACTGGGAAAATCGTTGAAGGATTTTTTTGGGTTTCCCAACTGCCATGATCATAAGTGGCTCAAAAAAGTCCCCGTTTCGTGGCCTATCCCATCTACCAACCCTTCAAACCCCAGCCATCTCAGTCATGGACATAGGCGTGCATAGACTAGCACGGGCACTCACATTTCCTGGGTTTCGTCAAGATTGTCACCACTGCCCTGTGGTTGTGCAGTTTATGTCCTGAAAGTGTTCCCAGGAGAGAATCCAGGTGCATTCGGCGGTCTTCATCAGGTTTTTGCACTAACGTGTGAATTCTTAAAAAGAACACCTTTTAAGTTCGCACTCGTTTGCGGATATTGGCGCTCGTTGCTGCAGGTTGATTTTCCGCAGTCACAACCATGGAACTCAGAAGCAGCCACGCAATTCTCTGAAACAGTCATTCTGGTTGCACAATCGCATGAAATTTCCATCCTGAACACCTTCATGCTTGATTAGGTTCATACTAGCTTGTCTAGCTGCATAAATGACCGCACTTGTTGATGCCCAATTCATCCGAAATGAATCGCGAGAGAAAACTGAGCCAAACGCTTGTCATGGCAAAAAAAATGTTCATCTCAAAAATCTGAAAATGGAATTTTCCATGATAAGCCATCCAGCTATTGAGGGTATCTGTAGCGGGAGCACAGTGGATTGCATTGGGCTAATTCCCCTCCAATCCCAGTCGCCTTGAAGCAGTTGGGGTAGTTCAGGAAGTCAGCACCGCACGAACCGCAAAGCGCACAGAGCGCTGTGTTTTCTATGACCGCAGTGGTCAGATCTGCACCATTGGCCACATTGGATGGCTCACTAAAAAGGGGCCCCTCCTGAGCCAAGACACCGGGGAACGTCCTTGCTGACTCAACGTCCTGACATGGCTGATGGCAGTTGCACCAGTACAAAAAGGGCTCAGGCGTTGAGTCTCTGTACCAGGCTCAGGAGAGAAACCTAAAAACGATCCGACCTGAACTTCTGGTGATCCAGCAGTGATTGCGAGCTCATGCAAGTCGCCATGAAAAAGATCATAAGCATTGATTGCGAGCTCACGCTGAAGGGCTCGATCTGAATGAAGGCCAGCACTGATTGCGAGCGCATGCTCCGCGTAGTGCTCAAAGGATCCATTGGCAGTCAAAGGCACCGAAGCGTCGCCCAAAGCATCGTCGACCTTCTGGACCGCCGTCTTGCCAATCTTCCTGTTTCTTTTGGCAGCTATGAAGTTCGGATCATAGGCTACCGACCAGTGTCGGCTCTTCAGAAATTTCAAAAGACCAACTCTGCTGTCGCCTCGCTTCTTTGTGAAGGCATCAGCAAGGTCGTAATCTGAAGCAATCCATCTCAGATCGCAGTTCACCCTCTTCAGGTTGTCACGCAGCTGGAAGGCTTGAAGAGCTGCACGCATGTTTGAAAGTCCAAGCAGCGGCGACTCGTTCACTTCAATGGCGTCATAGCCACCTCTCGAGTCAGTGCAAAGAATTCCAGCTACCATACATGCTTGATTCTCTGCTGATTTCACCAAGTCAGCACGTCGTTCAGGTCGATCAAGTCCTGCACCATGAAGTTCACTCCATAGCATTCTGACTCTAAAGTTCTGGTCCTCTGCTTCAAGAATGCTTTGAGCTTCAGCATCGTTGCTACCAATTGCCTTGCGCTTGAGCTTCCAGCTTCGCCAGGCTACAAGGTTCATCAAGACCCCCTTGCCAGACGAAACATCAGGTCCAGCAGCTAAAGTCAGCAAACCACCTGTGGAGTCTCCTTGAGGACGATTGGCATGTGATTGAGCGCCCATGGAAACGAAAACCACATCAGTCCATTTGCGAGTACCTGGCAGTTTGAAAAACTCAAGGCAATGAGGGTCTGCACGAACTTCTGAAACCATTTGTTGAATCTCTCGTGCAGTTTCAATTGTTCCACTTGTCACAACTTCAGTTAAAAGCAAATTGCAACGTGCACAAAGTTGAGGCTGTGTCTGTATGGCCAGCCATTGCAGTGCACCTAAAGCTGTGCGGCAGGCAGCAATCTCGCTCTTGGTGAGAGGGCCTTGTTGGCTCCAACGTTCTGGCTCAATTGAGACGTCCATCACGGTCTCAATGTATGCGTCCTGTTTGACGCGGATTGAAAACTCTCCATTCTTCTGAGTGACAGTCTGGATGTCAGTTCCAGCATGTCGGTAGGAACCTTGTTTGGAAGTTCCCCAGCGGTATGCAGATAAGACTTTGTTGAAAATAACTTGCCATTCTTCGCTTTTTGTATCTCCAACAACATGAAAATCATCTACATGACCTCCAATGGCACCAAGCAGTTTTGGGAACTTGCCGGTCTCATCCTTCTCGGTTGATGAAAACCATCCCCACAAACATCTTTCACCAAGGATAGGCACAGCGCCTAAACCAACCAGCTTCTTGTGCAGGTCAAGCCAAAGACCTCTTGGAGCTGTGGTGGAGCCATATATGTTTCGGAGGATCCGCATGATACCGGAATCGGACAAACCAAGAGCTGTCCTCAGTTCTGCTACGCCAGTTGTCCAAATCTCCTGGTCAGCCTCTGTTGGCTGAGTTTGCAAAAACGCTGTCGCTAAATCCAAACCATGAATCTGCCATTGGTGATGGGTGGCAAGAAGGTAAATGAGGTTTCGACCAACCATGCTTTGCACAGGAGCAGCTGTCTTGAAAGAACGATCAAGCAGCGATGGGTGTTGGAAACCCAGCAAAACAATTCGCGCCTTGGCCTTTTTGGCGCCATCTTTGGTCAAAACTGTTTTGGGATCTTCTTGCGCTTCCTTCTTGGCTGATTCAATTTCATCTGGAGCCGTTTGTTTCCATGTCAAAACCCAGCGGGCACGTATGATTCGATTTGAATCAACGGCACACCTGATCTCTTCATTGTTGAGACACTTTCTAACTGCCTGGTTCTTCAAGAAACTGTCCACCTCCTTGGTCTTTGCTCTGGTGAAGAGCTCACGATGTTCAGCTGTCAGCTTGGTCAACTGAACTTCGGCATTGTTCATTTTCTTGGTGAGGAAGAGGACGGGGTTCCGTTCCAAGGCCTTTCTTTGACGGTGGGTCTCCACGTCAATGTCAAAGCTGATGGTGAAGGCCTCTTCAGTTTCTTGAAGAGCTGAGAAAACATCAAATTCACCAGCTTCTTGGGCAGCATCTTGCTCAAGTTGTTCAACCCATTTGAGATCATAGTTGTTGATCTTGACACGCTTGACATCAGGAGCATCAGGGTGTGGTTCTTCCGGAGGTTCACGAACCGGAGATTCTGGCTCGTACTCAGTTCTGGCATCTGAGTCATAGGTGTTGACTGGAATGTCCTCCGCTGGTAAGTCCAGACCAGCAGGTTGGGAAGAGGACGGACGGTCCAGTCCAGGTGACCGTTGACCAACAGCACTTCCAAGTCCAGGGAGCGGTGCCGGGTCAGGTACGCCAAGTCCAAGTGGCGACGATCGATGGATCGTCTTCCAGTCATGTTGAGAAAGACCCTTTTTGCCCCAAATTCTCATGGCAGGGATGACTGTTGTGTCATCAGGTGACTGTGGTAGTAGAGGTAGTTCTGCTTCATTTTCACCAGGGATCTCATCCGTGATGTCCACAAACTCTCGGTTAGGCACAAGGTCAGAGAGAGTCTTCATCTTGGAAACATCTTCACGATTGTGAACATCATGATGAAATCTTTCCACTGGTGTGACAGGACGCACACTGTGGACGCTACATTTGAAGAGCTTGCCTTGGAGAAGTACCCAAACGATATGACGTCGAGGATCATCTTTGTCCTGGTGTGGAAGAAGCTCAGTGAAGACCACCCTACCGGGGCCTATCCAGCCAGGTCGACTGGTGCGCTTCATTCCACCTCGAGGTCCTTTGTAGGCATCGCTGGGCAAAATCTTTCTCCAAACTTTCACCAAATCAGCAATTTGAAAATGCCGTAGAGGTTGTCTCGCCTTGCTGTTGTTCAATCTGGTGAGCACACGTTGAGCTCTAGTTTTTGTTGCAACATCCTCAGCGCGCTGTCTTGCAGCAACCATTGAAGCAAAAGAGGCACGTTCTCCAAGTTGAGCAAAAAGCCTACGATCTTCTTCACTGATGGTAT